CTCCAGCGACGGTCCAGCTCTGGAGCGGCGGCGGTGACCAGCGCTGCCCAGCGCCAGCGCTTCCCAGCACTGCCCGCGGGTGCTGGGCAGCACTAATGTAGCACTGGTCGGTGGGAAATTTAGCAGAGCTCTGCCCAGTGCTGGGCGGCGCTGGGTTAGACCCCAGATGTTTGGTTGCAAAATATAATTATTTAGCAAACTCGACCCGCCCCAGTATAGTCCATCACATCTTGAATTAATGTATTTGTTGATTTGCAGAAGAAACAGCGCAGCCATGGCTGCGCCGTTGACCAACGGCATTTGAAGGCATTTTCCCTCCTGCCAGGATGCATCATGCCAGCCGTTTCTCCAACGCAGGAGGTATGCCACGCCCCCTAGCAAGTCTCTCAAAGGGGCGGATCCTCCGTATCGGGGCCAGCCATGTCAGGTTGGTGCACCAGGATGCCCGCCACCTGCATCTGTACGGTACGTGGACGGGGTAGTCGTTATTGAGGGTGACTCGGCCCCAGCAGCGGCTTGTGTGAAGCAGCTGTTGGTTTGCAAAGCAGCAAAAGTTGAAGTAACAAACGTTGTGCCCGACCTACCTGCCTTGCCCTGCGCTGGGTATGGCCCCCTGCTAGCCGCCAATCCATCATGTTGCCACCGTCGGCACCCCATTAATGTTTCCAAAGCTATCAAATAACTCGCCAGTCAGCCACATACATAAGTCAACCACGTACTTCATAAGAATAATCACCGCACAGCCTCCTCTGGTGGTAGGCCGGGGCAGGAGCGGAAGGCAGCGCACGGCGTCTCGTGGATGCTCAGCCGGTCTGGCAGCAGGTGCTGCGCAAGCCGCACCACGGCGGCCTCCATGCCCCCGTTGTGAATGCCGCGCATGAACGTGTCAGGCCGGACCGTGAAACTAAAGCCAAACAGGTCCACTCGCCCCTCTGGCGGCAGGCAGTGCAGGACCAGGTTGAGCGTTCGGAATCCCACCGTCACTTTCGTGCCGCGCAGGTTGAGCAGCTCGCCCACCCGCTGCGTGAAGGGGATGTCCCAGTTGTTGCGCACAAAGGCCGCACGCGGCCCGCAGGCACCCAGCTGCTGCTCCGCCGCCGCCATGTGCCCCTTCAGCTGTGCCGCTTCGATGCGCGTATTGCAGAAGAGCAGCACTGTCCCCGCGCCCGGCGCCCACTTGCGCCGCTTCAAGTACACTGCTGCGTGGACGACGTCGTTGATCCCCCACACCGTGGTGCGCTCACCAGCCCTCACATTGTCCATCAGGTTGAAGCGCACGACGGTGGGGGCGGCGTCGATGGCGGCGCGGTCGAGCTCGCTGAGCGGGCCGTTGCCCACCAGCGCAACTCTCGTGCCGTTAGCCAGGAGCAGGCCGCACACGCGTTCCGTGGTGGCAGCGTCATTCAGGTGGCTGTAAATGAAGTGTGGCGGCAGGAAGCGGGCCGCCAGGTCTAGGTAAGCGGCATGGACTGCTGCCATGCTGTTGGCGGTACCAGCCAGCTTGTGTGGCAGTGCCAGGCCGGCAAGCAGCTGGTGGATGGCGATTGTGTGGTTGGCGGCAGCAGGCGCCTGCGGGTGTGCACACATGGGCGAAGGAAGGGTGAGCTGAGTGGCAAGTAGCCGTGGCAACTAGCGGCTTACATGCATGTGCCGGGAGTGGGGATCAGGCGCAGCCCAAACGCTCACCTGCTCGGCCATCCCCAGAGCAGACCCTTCCCTCTGCCCGCCACCAAACGGCGCCGGCGAGGGCGGCGCAGCGGATGGTGCGGCATGCGGCTGGAGCGCTGCCGGCGTCGTGCCCCCGGGGCTGCTGCCGACCCCCGCCCACCAGCGCGCCGACAGGAGCACCATGGCCGACAAGTTGAGCATTAGTAGTGCTGTGGAGGGGGCAGGGGAGGGCAGACGACATGGTGCTGCTGTTGATCTCAGTTGGGAGGATGTCTGGCGACCAGCGGGCCGTAGAATGCTACCAAACTCGCACATACACACACTCTGGTGTCGCACTGTCGCATGGTATGATCACCAGGTCAATGCAGCCGGCTCACCTGCTCGAGAGGCAGCGCCTGGCGGCTTGTGCGGCGCGCTGGCGGGGCAAGCCTCGCCAGCCACCACCATGACTCAGCAGGCGCCGCTAAACACCGTCATACGGCGGCAGACAACATCTGCACGGTCCTGGACGCCGCACCGTAGCAGTGTGGTAGCATGCAATCGGTCGGTTACCAGCAAGCGCTGGTAAGCGGCATGCCGGGCCTAAGATATCGCAACACTGCTTTTAGAGCTCGCGTTCAAGACAGCACTATTTCGCAAACAGCAATGCAATGGGGATGTCCGGCGCGGGACGCGGCGCACGCACAGCATAGACAGGCGCATCAGCCAAGCGCACGCACAGCATGCTGCAGCAGCGTGACACGTGTCCACAGGACCCAAGGCATCCCAATCGGCGCAGAGGATGTGCACATGGCGGGCAAGGGTGTGCATGGGCTGGCAGAGGTGCCCCCCATCTTTGTGGCAACCCCAGTCATTTTGGTTTTGCTGTTCGTTCTCATTGGCAATGGAGGTCCTCAGACCATCAAAAACATCAAAAAGGAGAGGGAATTGCCCCGCAGCGGGGCCCCGCAGACAGACGCTCCTGTTGCGAGAGACTCCTCTGCCGACCTGCTCTTCATTTGGACCGACCTAGCCACTCCGTTTTCGAGCGAAGCCCTGAAGTCTGTCAGATCGGCTGCCGCCCACTCCGGGGCGCAGCGCTCCGGCGGTGCGGCGGCACCAGCGCGCGTCGTGAAGTTGCTGTGCATGACGCTGTCGTGCTACGAGAGCCGCTACTCTCTTCCTGAATCCGTGGACGTGAGCATGATCTCAGTGAGGGATTTCCTAGGAGCCGAGTCGCCCGCAGCCGGTTGGTTCCGGTGAGCAGCGCCCGCTGAGCCGCTGTCGCTGCCTGCTGCCTGCCGCCTGCGCCTGCTCGCCGACACTCCGCCGTTGCCCCTCTGTTGGTGAGCAGGAACCACACCTGGAACAAAGTGGCGTCAGGCGTCAAATACAAATACCCCCTGCTGTTTCGACGCATGGTGCTTCTGTCCGCCCTGCATGAGTACGGCGGGACGGCGGTGGAGTTTGGCGGCACTGTGCGAGTTTGGCGGCACTGTGCGGGCGCCTGCGCCGCCCCCGTCTGGCTCTCCCTGGTGCGCAGACGTCGGCGGCCAGGCCGTCACCCTGTATGCGCCCCGCGGCCATGAGAAGGTCAGGGCAGCGATTGCCGACTTGGCGTCAGGCTTTTTGGAGTTGGCTGGGCAGCAGAAGTGGCGAGGCTCGTGCCCCTTTGCATCAAGAGCACCGAGGGGCCACAGCTGGATCGACTTTGACAATGGTAAGGGCACAGGCACACCCTGCGCCTCACTGGTGTGTGTTGCCTTCCTGGAAACAATCGCAGCTGCTGAGTTGTCGCTGCTGCTTAGTGCAGGACCAGCCGTGTTCTCTCCTAACCCAGGGCAGCACTACGGTGTGCTGTGGCACGACACGCTTGTGCGCTACCAGCTCACACATAAAGATGGCCCGAACTTGGGTAAATCGCTGGGATGTAGCAAGCCAGCAATGCCGCCGGCTACTGGTGGAGTGGCTTCAGGGTACCGCAATGGAGCTGCCGATTCCAATCCCTGCCTGCCTTTTGCATTGCAGGCGACGAGGTGCAAATGCTGGCTGCTGCACAGGTGAGCGGTTGTGCTGGGTTGAAGCAGGGCGAATCAATCAGCACACCAGCAAGACCCACCCCCAGTCATGACCACCTGCACCCCCGTGCAGTGGCTGCCATACATTGACGCCCGTGTCGACAGGGACAACATGACGCTAGTGACTCCTGCCACAGCTGCGGAGGGCTCCATACTGCTCATCATGAATGCCTTTTTGTAAAGCATGCCATGTATGCCCCTCGTCGCCATTCTGTTGACCGTTTGCTGCCAAGCACTGTCTACCTATACGCCTGCACGCACTGTGCCACTTCAATGCCTGCCTTGCAGGGGTTACAAGCGCACCGGGCACATACTGGCCCCCTCCTGCCTTCATCGATCCGATCCTGGTCTCCATGCATTTCAGTTTGGCATTTTGGAACAGCCTGACCTCCAATTTATCGATTCCATATGTTCGGCAGCATGGACCAGTAAGAGCACGCGATGAGCAGACGCTGGAGTTTTGCAGACCAAGATGCCGGGCGTGGACTCCTACCTGAGCTATCGCATGACAGCCACGCCGGAGAGCGTGGCGCGTCCGGGAGCCGAGCCCAAGTGCCTCGTCCTGTTGGTGGACGTCCCGGACGAGCTGCTGCCCCTGCTGCCGCCGGCCGTCAACAGGAACGAGTGCAGGCTGAATCCCAAAGTCTTTGGCAAGCAAACAAGCAACGGCATGTTCAGAGTCGAGCTCACATTTGAGTATCTCCGGATATATGCTGAGGCTAGGGTCATCATCACTACACGGCTGCACTGCGGCGTCCCAGCGGCAGCAATGGGTGTCCCAGTGATTCTGGTGAGTGCGGTGCCGACTGCGTGCGGCGGGTGGGGTGGAGAACTGCCGAACATGTTACTCAGTGACTGAGGGTCTGTAAGAATGTGAGAGTGCGCAAGCTATCAGCCTGGGACATGCAGCCTTCCGCCTGCCTGGGGATGCCCCTCCCCGCCCCTCGCTTCCCCACACTGCCTCCTGCTCTCTGCCTCCAGGTCAAGCACCCAGAAGGCGTCACTGGCCGCTTCGACGGCTTCCACCCGCTTTTCCACACTGCCGATATCTGGGAGCAGCGCGGCAAAGCAAAGGCATTCCTTCAATCGTTCGACTATAGCGCGCCGCCGCCCATCCCTGTCCAGACCGGCCCGACCCCAGAGTGGAGGAAAATGCGGTGCGGCTTGCTGGAGCGCGTTGTGGCACAGAACCCCATGCTGCTCGACTCCATCAATGACCAGTCGCTCACGCCTGCCTTTGAGCGCTGCCAGGCATTTCGTTACTTTCCACGGTAATGAAGCGCTGTATGATTCACCAGTATAACTATATAATTCTTTCATGTAGCCAATGGCTTTGGCTTGAATCTGACGCTGGAATGCAAATGTCTCAATGTGTCCTTTCTCTGCCCACCACAATTTGTTTGCTCCTTTTTCCTCTGCCCACTCCATTCTCTGCCCACCACAACTCAACTACTCACTTCACTCACAGGAGGCGATGAAAACAATGCAATGTCACCAACATATCGGTACTTGAAGGCCCCTTTGTGCATGGCCGCCCTTTCCCCTGCCCCGCCTGCAACGGCAATTTTATCAGGTCTGCCACGTTCCACTCTGATTCTGAATGCATGTGAACGCATATCATTGAAATATTCAGACAATATTCATGAATCAGCACCTTTCGGAAAAAATGAAATAATCAAACGCAACAGCAAAACCTAACAGCAGCAGCAACAAGACAAATTTCTTTAAGCAATGGAAAGCAGCAATGATGGTGAAGCAGAGGAGGTGGTAGCAACATAGCTTGAAGCGCATGCTGTTGGTGACATTCTTCGTCCCCAGGAGTTCAGCACAGCATGTTGAGAAGCACTTGATGGAGCTCCGTGTACACCTCTGGCCAGAAGTGGCGGTGATCATACAGCGGTGGCGGCTGGAAGGCCATCGCCGGGCGCAGCAGGCGCCAGGCATCCAGCACGCGCAGCTGGTCCTGGTCAGCCGCTGCATCCAGGAACTGGGCATCCCAGGAGGCGCCGATTGTGATGTTGGTTGAGGGCGTGGTGGTGCGCCACAGGGCCATCCCTCGCTGTGCCGCCACCGCCGCCACCGCTGCCTCCACCACCGCGCCGCTGAACCCGGGCGGCGACCTGCGGTCGAAGATCGCCCGTTCGGCCGTCTCCACTGTTCGCCACGCCCCAGAGTTGATGATTACCGCTGCAGGCTTCAGCTTGGCCACCACCTGGTACAGTGAGGGGCGGGACATCCAGGCAACCGTAGGTAAAGTGTCAGGCAGGCAGCCGGGGCGACGCCACATGATGGCAGCGGCAGTCAGGTGGGTGCCTGCGCCTCACCTCGCGCAGGGCTTCGGGCAGCGGCAGGGCATAGTCCGACTTGAAGCTGCACTCGCCAGGGGCGCGGCGGCACCCCCGGCCTGCGCAGGCGGGTGGCTGGCACGGCGTGGCGTTGAAGAATGGCGGGTGGCCCCAGTGGCCCACCAACTTATCGGGCCAGCCACGCCAATACTTGAAATGAACATTCAGGTGCCGGCTTGGGTGGATGTAGGACCGACCCATATCGGCACCGCCTATGCAGTCGCTCAGCATGTAGCCCTGGAAAGCTTCAGTGGAACCTGCAGCGCAGCAAGAAGCGCATGGGGAGGCGTGTGCCCATTTCAATGCCTGGAGGGGGCAGCTTCTGACTTTGGCTGCAAAGGCACCAGCTTCAAAGGACTTGCCAGGTGCATCTGCGACAGGCCGCAAACTCACCTTTCACGAATGCCGCAACGCTGGCTGACCAGGTCTGCCTGAACACTATGCTGGGATGGTCAGCTATTGTTGGCCACCTGCCATTGTGCAGGAAGGATGCTAGCGCGAGGAATGAATAGCGGGAAAGTGAGTCGCCGATAAACACGATCGGGCGGTGGGCGAGGCACGCTGTCGCCTGGGGGGCGGTGAATCGGCGCAGGGTGCAGTGGCGCAGGGACAGCCTGGGCGTGTTAAGGAAGGAGGGGGGTGGGTCCTCCTGTGAGCTGGCGGATGCGGAGCTCCAAATGGCGGAGCCCTCAGGCAGCAGGCCAGAAAGCAGAGTCAGGTTGCAAGGCGGCAGCGGCGGCGAGAGCGGCCGGGTGCTCCCCGGCGACAGACGATCGTCGGGGCGGCGCAATGGAATTAGCTTGGGCGGCAGCCGATCATGGAGCAGCAGGAGGAACTGGAGCGCCAGGAGCGCAGAGGCACACTTTAAAACAGCTAGCGGGCTGCAAAGTTCTGGGCCCCGCATCCATTTTGGAAGCATAACGAATGCAGGTTCGTCCCTCTCGATGGAGCAGCAGCCGAAATAATCGTGCTTTCGCGCGCGCGCTGCCTGCCCTGTGATGCAGACTCCCTTGAAAGGAGTCGCAGCTCTAGGCAGGATGGGGCAAGAGGGCAGATCGGGCGGGAATCAGAAGGTGTAGGAATGTGGGTGCCGGTGGCAGCCGGAGTGTTGCTAAATTCCGGCAGGGGGGAGGGAGTGTGGACATCGAACATTCCAGCCACCGATTTAATAAAATAGTGGTAGGAAAGGGTAGCGTCGGTTAGCGTTCCACCCATGGGCGTTCCACGTGGCGAGGGGGGCGGGCGGAGCGTTCCACGTGGCGAGCGGCCGTACATCAATTTTCCCATGCCTCAGGCCCCTATCATTTTTAGCCTGAGCGCCCCCGGCGCCTCCATTTGATGTTGGGCACTCTCGTTTGCGCCTCTCCTGACCTTCAGTGGTCTAATACTTCTATTTGTAGCGTGCAGTCTGCCCGCATCGCGGCCGGTTGGGCCAATCGGTCATGGATCCGCCTGCTATCTCGCTTCACGTTCTCTCCTGGGACTCATGAAGTCTCCTTACAACACTATAACGCCATGGAGAAGCGCGCTGGACGCCCCCGACAGCTTGGAGGGGCCAGCAGAGGGCGGGCGGCGGGCGGGGCACCAGTCCCTGCCGCACCAGTCCCTGCCGCCGCCATGAAAACAACAACAGTGCAGCATCTTCTAAGGATGAAAATGCTCAGGTCCACAGCATCGTGCCCAAGCTGCTGCAAGTCCTCTGCTGCTTGCAAGAGGCACTGTAGCGCTGCACCCCGCTGGCGAAAGCGTTCGCGCTCGTCCAGAAACGCCCGCCGCTCTTCATACCTCCACGCATTATCCGGCCCAACATTCTCCTTGAGATTGAATGCAGTTGTTGTTTTGATGGTGGCAGGGGCGCCAACCTTCTTTCTGCTAGAGAACTGCAGGGGGAAGAGGAAGCAGGCACAGCACAGTTGACGCCGCAGCCGCCATCACTGCCGCGCCGCCGCCATGCACAGCATGGACACTTGCCGTGCCTCCCCTGCGCTGCAGGACTGCGTCCGATCGTGTGTAGGATCTCTTTTTGGTTGGACCTGGCGCTGTTCTCAGCTGCGTCTGGGCTGCAGCAAGCCTGGAGCTCTGCCGCAGCATAGTCCGGTCTACAAATTACTCGTTTGGTGCAAAACAGGCAAAATAGACGCAACTGCATCCAAATTTGGACATGCCTGCATACGTGGCAGGTTTCACAGGTGGCAGACTGGTCAAAAACTCAAGTTTTTGGTGCCCCACCCTCGCCATGCCTCGCGATAGTGGGGCACAACTGCCCATCGGGCACTATGAAGTCCATTGCAAGCCATTTCCAGCACCAGTCAACTCTTGTATGGTATCAAACAAGATGTGGGTCGCTGCCTGTTTGCCCAAATTTGCTGTCTCTGGCCCAATCGAGTAAATTGAAGTAAACCCGCTAACAGCCGGCGTAGGAAAGTTGGCGTAGGCCGGTTCATGGGGCGGCCGGCCCTCTGTTTTCGTTTGTGTTTCTCCCGGGTAGTACCCCGCTACGAAAGGCAGGCCAAAAAGGGACGCCTCCGAGATCCCTCTTGTCGATCGGTGCGCCTGATAAACCACGCACGACATCCTAAGAGTTACAGCAATGCCGAGAGATCATGAAACAGGCACATGTGCGCAGAGAATCATCAGCGCCGCCAACTGGGCGGGCAGCTGCCGCCAGCTTGGCGACTCTGCGGGCCAAGCAAAGGTTTGGCTGGGGCGCAGTGCACACCAAGCCCGGCCCAGCCGCCCTCAGGGTTCGTAGTTGAGCATGGGGCGCAGCCAGCGCTGCGCCTCTGCCAGGTCCATCTTCTTGCGGGCCGCATAGTCGGCCACCTGCGGGGTTGGACGCCACCGATGGGACCACACTCAGCCAGAAGGACAGCGCACCCGGCTTCAAAGGCAGTCTCGCTGGAACGGACCAGCAGTGAAACGCGGCGCAACGCAGGCAGCAGGGCATGCCGCTGGCCGGCGCAGCCCACGGGCTTTGGCGGCGGCGGCGCAAGGGCTCCGTCCCACCTGCTTACACATGCGGCCCACCAACCACCGCCCGTCCGCCCACCCACACACCTGGTCTTGCGTGATCTTGCCCACAGCAAAGTACTGGGCGGCGGGGGAGGCAAAGTAGAGGCCTGACACAGAGGCGGCTGGCAGCATGGCCATGGACTCAGTCAGGGAGCTGCCCACCTGCAGGAAGTGCAGGGCCAGGTGTGTGTGTGAGTGTGTGTGTGTGTGTGTGTGTGATAGTGGCAAGGCGCATGTGGGGCGCCGCACGCAGGCAGGGGGCGCGAGGGCCCAGGCAGGCGGCACGCCACGCTTCTGCTGCGGGCGCGTCTCGAGGCCCCCTGTCTCGCCCGCAGTCGAATGGGCCGCTCAAGGGATCGCAAGACGCCGGCAAGCGCCAGCCACCCGCCGAAGTGCCAATCCCACCCAAACAGCCACCCACACCCACACTCACATCCACACCCACCTGTTGCTCCACCCGCATCAGCTCCCACATCGTGCGCTTCTCGGTGTGGTCGGGCTGGGAGGGGTATCCCGCGGCGGGGCGGATGCCGCGGTACTTCACCTTGAGCATGTCGTCCACCGACAGCGCCTCGTCCGCGGCATACCCCCACACCTCCCGCCGCACCAGCTCGTGCAGCCGCTCTGCCGCGGCCTCTGCCAGCCGGTCAGCCAGCGCCTCGGCCATGATGTAGGAGTAGTCATCCCCCTCCGCCTTGAACACCTCGGTCATCGCCTCCACCCCCATGGCTGCAGAGAGGAGGCGCAGGGTGGCGGGTCGTGGGTGGTGGGTGTGTGGCAAAAGGTGCAAGAGCAGGGCAGAGCAGGGGTGAGGGGCGGTGGGGACGATGATGTGGCACGGCAGGCGCGGCCTGGCAGCGCCTGCTCTCCCCAACAGCCAACAGCCAGGCCCTCCTCTGCTACGCCCCGCAGCGCTGGGCTGGGCTGCACCCCCTCTTCCCCCTGTGCTGCACCCCCTGCCCCTCTGCTGCCCACAGGGCGCTCTTTTCGCCCGAGTCGGCAAGCCCCGCTGCACACCGTCATGCTGCAGCTCCCCCTGCAGCAGCCTGCCGCCCTCCTGCTCCTCCCGCTGCTCCCCCGCCGCCCCCACACGGCAGCGCCGCCTCACCCGAGTTGGCAAACATGCCCAGGTAGTCCACGGTGCCTGTGGAGCGAGGTGCCACAAAGTCGGACAGGCAGTAGTACGGCTCGTCGCCGTCCTTCTCCGCCTGCTGCCGCAGGCCGTGGAAGCGGGCGGCCACCTGCGGTGGTGGTGGTGGTTGGGGGTGGGTGGGGACGTAGATGTGAGGCGGGCAGGAGGAAGGTGATCAGCAGCAGCGGCGGTGGAAAGTGGAGGCGCGCGAGGTGTGGCAGCCGAGCAGGCACCCGAGCCTGGCGGCACACACGCAACCCATTCAGAGGCACAGCCCTCCGGTGCTGGCCCACGCTCCCACCAGCATCGCCCAACCGGGAAGAGGAACAACCAGAAACCACGCGGACAAAGCAGCAGCCCACCTGCGCTCTGCCCCACAGATGGAGGAAAAGAAGCAGGAACCACACACAGCAAGCAGCAGGGAGGGAAAAGCAGGGGGACAAAGCAGCAGCCCGCACCTGCGCCCTGCTCTCGTCGGTGTACACCTCTATGTCGTCGCCCACCGAGTTGGCGGGGAAGATGCCCACGATGCCCACGATGCGCAGCTTCTTGCCGGCGATGATGTCCTGCGCAGGGGGAGTGGAGCGTGTGTGTGTGCGCGCGCGCGTGTGTGTGTGTGTGTGTGTGTGATGCAGGCATGAACATAGTGTGCCTCGCAGAGGGAGTCTGAATGACTGCATAACACATGTGCCAGGTGTGTCGCACCACGATGCTCTGCTCCTCGCCACCCCCACAGCCACCCGCCCGCAGACCCACAGCCTACTCGGCCCACCTGCAGCATGGCCTGCGCCTCATCAAACAGCTTCCTGGCCTCCCCGCCCACCGCCTCGTCGTTGAAGATCTTGGGGTAGCCTCGGTTGGGGTAGCGCCCCCGCAGCTGCCACACCTGCACCCAGCGCCGCGCGGCGGGCAGGCAGGCGAGCAGGCGCGGCGAGTGGCACGGGGCTGGCGTGCGCCCAGGCTGGCACTCAGGGAGGCGCCATTGCCAGGGCTGTCATGCAGGGGCGGGCAGCAGGGAGGCCACCCCGACTTGGAAGAAAGGAATGAAAACGGAAGGGAAGAAAGCGTGTCGGCGCCCCACCTGGAAGAAAGGGTTCCAGTCGATGTACGGCAGCAGCTCTTCAATAGGCATGTCCAGGTACGCCTGCGTGCCCAGCTGCCTGGGCCGTACCGGCGCATTCTCCGGCGCGCTCCAGTCCACCTGCGCGCAGCGGCGGGGCGGGCGGGCGGCGGCAGGCGCGCGTGAGCAGCGGGGCCGGTGAACAGCAGCACGCGCTCCTGCGCCCACCCGCAGCGCAAGGACAGGCACAGCAAGCGCGCCCTGCGCCCACCTGCAGCCCCTTCCTCTGCGCCTCCTGCAGGGTCACATACTTGCGGTCCTCCAGCCCCGCATAAAACTCCTCCCGCATCTCAGAGTACTGCTCCCTGCACGCGGTACACGCGGCCGGCACAGCAGGCGAAAGAAGAGTTGGCACGGTCGGCTGGCGCCACCGCTGGCGAACAGGTCCCATAATGTGGCAAGCCCGCCCCGCGCCTCACCTGATGTCTTCCACAAACTCCTCCTTCTGCCGCGCGTCCAGGAGGGACTGCGCCACGGGCACGCTGCGCGAGGCGTCCAGCACGTACACCACCGGCCCGCTGTACTGCGGCTCGATCTTCACCGCCGTGTGCATCTTGGAGGTGGTGGCGCCGCCGATGAGCAGCGGCAGGCGCAGGCCGCGCTCCTCCATGCGCTTCGCCACGGTGACCTGCCGGGCAGGGGCGCAGGGGGGCATGGCCGGGTGGGCAGGCAGCGACGGGGTTGCACGGCTGGGAGGGGAAGGGCGGCGAGGGCGTGTGGGCAGTGTCGAGCTGCGGTAAGGAGCGGGTGTGGGCGCTGGGGCAGGGGCCAGGGTAGCAGCTCAGCTAAGGGGAGCCTGGGGGGGTGCCACAGGCCTAAACAGCGCAGGGAGCCACCCAGTCCGCGCTGGCGGGAGGCGAGCAGGCACTGGGGAGAGGCATCACAGCTCCGCCCGGTGGCGAAACGCCGGCCAGGCAGCCGGCCATCCCCTGGGGCGCACCATTTCGTCCAGGGAGGGGGTGATGAGGCCAGACAGGCCGATGATGTCGGCATTGTGCTCCACGGCGGCGTCCAGGATCTTCTCCCAGGGGCACATCACGCCCATGTCGATGACCTGGGGGCAGGCAGGCAGGCAGGCAGCGGGCAGCCAGTCTACTCATCACAGCTTTCAGCTGCCCAGAAGACTGGACTACCAAAAACTAACAGGTTCCTTAATCAGACGGGAGTGCACAGCAACAACCCCACTCAAAGCACACCCAGCGCAGCACCTTGCGCCGCACGCCCTGCTGCACCTACAGCACACAGCGACAAAGAAAATGTGGCGCAGCGCCGCCGCCCACCCGCGCCCCAACGGCAGGCCCCACCTTGAAGTTGTTGCAGCCCAGCACCACGCCCACGATGTTCTTGCCGATGTCGTGCACATCGCCCTTGACGGTGGCCATGATGATGACGCCCGCGTTGTCGTCCCCGGTCTGCCCGTTGCGCGCCTTCTCCTCCTCGATGTAGGGGATGAGGTGGCCCACGGCGCGCTTCATCACGCGCGCCGACTTGATGACCTGACGGGCGGGAGGATGGGAGGGAGGGAGGGAGGGAGGGAGGGACGTCGAGAATGGAAAGGAGTGAGCAGCGGGGAAGGTCGGGCGGCACGGGAGGGGACGGGGACCGAGACAGGCAGAGCGGCTGCGGCTGCGCCCCGGTGATCCCCAACCTGCGCCGCCTGCCAGGGCGGGCCCCACACCCCTCCCTCCCTTGGTCCCCGCCTCACCTGCGGCAGGAACATCTTGCCCGCCCCAAACAGGTCCCCCACCACGTTCATGCCGTCCATGAGGGGGCCCTCGATGACGTTGAGGGGGCGCGGGTAGCGGCCGCTCACCCGCGCCTCCTCCGTGTCCGCCACCACAAACTTGTCGATGCCCTTGATGAGGGCATACTCCAGCCGCTTCTCCACGCTGGCCTCCCGCCACTCGTCCTGCAGCGCACGGCAGGCAGGCGCCCAGGCAGGGCAAGCAGGAAAGGAACCAGAGTCAGGGACTGGGCAAGCGACAGGCCTCGGGCCACATGACAGTGCCAGCAAGACAGCAAGGCACGACAACTCTCCCCACAAGCCCCATAAAGCGTGCATCCAGGGCAGGCTCCTGGTCGGTGGCACGTGCCCCGACACCCCACCTGCTTGGGCCCACCGTTCTGCGCCACGCCCTGCCCCTTCCTCTTCACGTCAGTGGGCTTGCACTTGGGCTCAAGGGTGGCTGCATACTCAAGCATGCGCTCCGTGGCATTCTCGCAGCGGTTGAGCAGCACATCCTCCACAAACTCCAGCAGCTCCTTGTCAATCTTCTCATACACATCCGCCTGGACCTGCAGGCGGGTGCGGGGAACAGCCGCTGCTGCGTTAAGGGCCCCAATCGCGGCTGGAATGTGTGCTGCGACATGCTGAAAGCATGCAGCCTGCAGTTGCCGGAAAACTACTCAGGCAAAAAAGGAAGCAAATAAACTCAGGTATGAACAGGATCAGAGCAAACCACTCCAGGCAAAAGGTGAACGTATGTGCAAGCATCCCCAAACACACTCCTGCTCATTGCAGCAGCCACCCCCAGAACAATCCCCACCTGCGTGGCATTCACGATGCCCATGTCCATGCCCGCCTTGCAGGCGTGGTGCAGGAAGGCGCTGTGGAAGGCGCGCCGCACCGGCTCGTTGCCGCGGAAGGAAAATGCAATGTTGGACACGCCGCCGCTGATCTTGGCACCCGGGCACAGCCGCTTGATCTCCCGTGTGCCACGAATGAAATCGACGGCATAATTGTTGTGTTCCGCCATGCCGGTGCCCACAGTGAGGATGTTGGGATCGAAGATGATATCTTGAGGGTTGAACCCAACTTCCTCCACCAGAATGCGGTAAGCACGCTGGCAGATGCGCACCTACAGGCAGCCGAAGTGCACAGCAGGGCCATACATGCAAATCAGACGACCAGTAGGCTGTTCATTAACAGCAAGTGCAGGACAGCCAAGGCGAAAGCTCTCCAGCAAGTGCAGCGTCCAACCAGCTCAATGACGCACCTTGTTGGCACAGTCTGCCGCCTGCCCTTCCTCATCAAACGCCATCACCACCACAGCAGCGCCGTGACGCTTCACAATGCGTGCCTGCTCCCTGAACTTGTCCTCTCCCTCTTTCAGAGAGATGGAGTTGACAATGCACTTGCCCTGCGGCAGAACATGTAACAACACAGGTGGTCAGCTGTTGCTTTTCTATTGATTGAATTGATTGATGCTATTATCTCTGAATCAACTGGCTATACGATGGAACACGATGCCGACACAATCACAAAACATGGAACACAATGCCAACAACACATCAAGAAACTCAGAATGCCCAGCGGCCAACCACAAGTCCACCCCAACCCACCCTCAGGTGCACACCTGGCAGCACTTGAGGCCTGCCTCGATGATGAAGAACTTGGAGGAGTCGACCATGAAGGGCACGCGGCTGGCCTCCGGGTCCGACACCAGCAGGTTGACAAAGCGCGTCATGGCGGGCACGCCGTCAATCAGGCCGTCGTCCATGTTGATGTCAAGCACGTGGGCCCCGGCATTGACCTGCACATCCAGCATCCACACAGCAGCAGGAGTGTGCAAACACACCAGCCTCCACCATCCAAGCTGCAACACTCCAGCTGACGCCCAGCCTGTGCAGCATCTCAGCAAGCTGCATAATGCTGCCCAATCTTGGTACACACATCTTGAAGACAAACACAAAGCACCCCGCACCTGGGAGAGGGCAATGGACACGGCCTTGTCATAGTCGCCATCCACAATCGCCTTCTTGTAAATGATGGACCCCGCCACATTGCAGCGCTCTCCAATCATCAGGAACGTCTCCCGCATGTTGTCAGGGTTGGGCTGGTAGTTGAGCGGCTCCAGCCCGCTCAGCCGCAGAAGCTGTGGAACATCATGCAGCTGCCGGGGCGGGTAGGCAGATGCCATCTCCCGGATCGCAGCAATGTGCTCGGGTGTGGTGCCGCAGCAGCCGCCAATGGCATTCACCAGGCCCTCCTCGCCTGCAGGCAGGCACGGCATGCAGAACAATGTTGAACATTCGAAGCAGGACAGTGAAACGTAATCCTAGCAAGCAAAGCGAAGCAGCTGCCAGCAGCCAATTCCATGCTGGCTGCAGCAAGCCCATCCACCAGCAGGTCCAAACAGCAGTCATGCTCACAGAAGGGGCGGATGTCCTCTGCCATGTCTGGCCCGCGCTGGTCGTAGCCGCCCATGGCGTTGGGCAGGCCCGCATTGGGGTAGCAGAACACGTAGCAGTCGGCGCAGGCAGACAGGTTGGCAATGTACTGCTTCATGTCGCTGGCACCCAGCGCGCAGTTCAGCCCAATGGCCAACGGCTTGGCGTGGCTGACGCTGTTCCAAAACGCCTCGTTGGTCTGACCGCTCAGCGTGCGCCCAGAGTTGTCCACGATGGTGCCGCTGATGAACACAGGGATGCGCACGCCCTGCAGGCAAAACCACACAAAACAGCCCCTCACAAAATCTCAAGCAGGTGCGCATGCTCTTCTGCGTCTCTTCTTGCAATTGCAAAGCAACATGACAAACAGCAAGCAAGCAGCGAACAAGCAGGCAGCACTGCTCACCTGCTCTTCAAAGAAGCGCTCCAAAGCGTAGATGGCTGCCTTGGCGTTGCCCGTGTCAAAGATGGTCTCAACCAGGTACATGTCCACGCCTCCCTCGTACAGCGCCCGCGCCTGCTCATAGTAGGCCTGCTCAATCTCATCGTACGTCACGCCACGCAGGGCGGGGTTCTCCACGCTGGGGGACACGCTGAGCGTCTTGTTGGTGGGGCCAATGGCGCCCGCCACAAACTTGCGGCTGCCCGGGTTGGCCGCCATGTAGGCGGCTGTGGCCTTCTTGGCAAGCTGTGCTGCCGTACGGTTGATCAGGGCAACCTCCTCCACCTGGTCTAGCTGGTAGTCGGCCTGTGAAAAGGGCAGAGCGGGGTGACAAAAGCGCAGGCATCTCGTCGGCAGTGCAGCAAGAACAAAAGCAGGACCAGTAGCATGCTTAGGCAGGCAACAGCAGGGACCAGCGGCATGATTCATTCAGTTACAGCAGCAGCCGTTGGGAAGTAGGTCGCTCTTCAGGCAACCAGACCTGCGAGATGGTGGTGCCATTGAAGGTGTTGGTTTCAATGATGTCGGCGCCGCCGGTGAGGTACGCAGTGTGGATCTCCTCAATCACGTCGGGCCGAGTCAGCACCAGCAAATCGTTGTTGCCCTTGAGCTCATGCTCATGGCTCTTGTACCTGCGCCAGCCATCATGGGCATCATGGGCATCAAAGCAGCAACCGCATGCAAGCTCGGTGTGCAGAAATGAGTCTGGCAAGCAGCCAAGGTGGCTGCCACCATCTCAGCAATACATCAATGCCACCCTCGGCACCCAGCTGGACAGACAGCTGCCCAGCACCACTCCAGGCACACACCGCTCGCCGCGGAAGTCCTCCTCCTGCAGCTTGTAGCGCTGGATCATGGTGCCCATGGCGCCGTCGATGAAGATGATGCGCTCCTGCATCATCGCCTCCAGCTGGCCAAACGCCTCCGACTTGGCCAGCGGGTCGCGCCACGGCTGGTAGGCGGGCACGTCCGTCATGGTGCCTCCTGTTGCCTGCTGCGGTGATCCCGGCTGGCTGCTGCCTGGCACTGTCGCCTTGGCCACTGCCTCTGGCGGCGGCGGAGCAGAGGGTACTGCAGATCCAGCAGAGCACAGCGGCGGTCCTGACTCCCTCTGCTGCCTCATGTGCACAGATTGCTCCTGCTATGAGCAGCTTGCAAGAGAGCATGCATTGGAACCTGCAGCTGGCCGTGCCCACCTGTCGAATTGGGTGCTGCCGCCGCTGGCGGGGGTTCTGTGCCGCTAGTCAGCCACCAGCAAGCCTGCAGGCTGGGCGCCCCACACGATCGGCATCATGCAGCTGCCCGACCGTGACTAGCATGCTGGCGCGCCAGAGAAGCAGCGAGACTCACCCCGACGAAAAGGAATGTGGGCACCAGTAAGGGAGATGCAAGGATGGCGATTGCAAGAAGCACGGGGCTGAGCAGCAGCACCAGATGAACCGCGACCAGCGCCAAGGCGCAGGTGAGGAGCGGCCTGGGGGCGGCTTGCAGCACTTGCAGCATAAACAACACCCAGCAGCTGTGCTGCCACTCAGGGACCCGGTCGTTTCCGAGGATTGCGGGCGCTTGAGCGAATGAGGCTGATCGCAGTACAATTGCCGCCAGACGGTACGCCTCCGAAATGTGCGCCGCGCTCCCTCTTTCGCAATTACAGCGTTCGAACCAGATGGCGTTCCACAATCTGTACCCCGAGCTGCTGCTGGCTCTGGTTGGCAACACTGGGGAGGCATTTGTGCAGCGGGAGCAGGGCGCAATCGTTCTTGCAGACGTGGTGGACTGGGTCACGCCGCCCGAGAGGTGCGCTGGACATTGCGCTTGAACTCGAAGTGATCCGCCGTGAACTGCAGACGGGGCTGGAGCTCCAGCAGCTGCGAACGTTGCTGGCGTTGCTTGAGAGTCCATCCTGCCGCGGCGTGCTGGCCTGCACCCACGCCGCCGCCGCCACCGCTGCTGCGGCTCCAGTGGTTGCCAGCCAGCCAGCCAGCTTTGTCCGACTGCCTGCGCACATCCGTCTGTGCAGGGAGCAGCTCAACCGCCTGGCACGGCTAGGAGCTCACTATGCAGCGCTGGAGGAGTTTGTGTGCAGCGCGACGGCGGCCGGCGCGGGGGACGACGGCACGCAGCCGCCCGCCAGCATGTACCGCCTGGCGCTGGCCAGCGGCGTGTCGGAGCTGCTGGACGTGTACCGCTCAGCTGTACTGCAGGTGGAGGCGCACCTGCTGCACCTGGGCGCCGCGCCGCCGCTGCTCAGCGTGCAGCAGTTCCTGCTGGAATTCGAGGCCCTGCTGCCAGAGGTGGCCGCCCTGGTGGGCGAGGTGCGGCGCCGCGGGCTGGGCGGCAGCCAGGCCATGCGCGCGCTCAGCCTGCGCGCGGGCAGCGGCGCGCCCGCGCTGCAGTCGTGCGCCGCGCGCCTGCTGTGGCACTGCCGCCAGGTGCTCTTCAACCAGCTCGAGTCGTGGCTGGTCCACGGCCTGCTGCTGGACCGCGGCAACGAGTTCTTCATCCGCCGCTGCGACACAGCAGCGCCGCCGGCAGCAGCGGGGGCGGCGGCGGGGCCGGCGGCGGGCCACGTCGCGTCGCCCGCTTCGGCGCTGCATGGCGGCGGCGGCGGCGGCGGCGGCCCTCCTGGCGGCGGCTCCATACTGGATTGGGAGCCGCTGGAGTGGCATGCGGGGTTCCAGGTGCGTGCCGGTTCGCGCACTTCAGCTATCAGCTTTTGTGACGCAGCTGCTGCAGCGCTGCCCTCCCACCAGCTGCCAACAGCCCACCGGGTTGCCGTATAGCACCCATCCCCGCCCTGCGCTGGCCCGCCTTCCTGCCGGCCCGCCGCCGCCGCAGGTGTCGCTGGCAGACCTGCCCCCCGACGTGTCGCTGCCCACGGCCGAGGCGGTACTGTTCGTCGGCAAGGCGGTACGGGTGCTCAAGCAGCCCATGAGCTCCGCCGCCTCCCACCAGGCCCTGCACGCGCACGCCCAGATCCTGGCCTTTGCCCACGACCTGCACCGCCTCCAGCGCCAGGAGGCGGCCAGCGCGGCGCAGCTGGAGCACTGCGTGGAGAGCTTGCGCAGCAAGGTAGGCGCCTGGTGCGGTGAGGGGGACGGCGTGGTGTGTGTCAGGGAGAACAGGCAGCGCGGAGGCGGGCTGGACGCGGCTGTGTGCAGCTCGCCGCCGGCTGTCGGGCCCTGCATGTGGCCGGCATCCATGCTGGACGGTCGTGCTGGTGCCCGCCCCCGCCCCGCGGGCCGCTCCAGCGGCGGCACCGGCGGCGAGCGGTGCAGACCTGGGCCCCTGCCTGGCCGCCGCCGCCGCCGCCGCCGCCTGCAGGTGTCGGGCCTGCTGTGGGACCTGGTGCGGCACCGGTGCGACCTGATGGCGCAGTTTGAGGCGATGCGCTGCTACTTCCTGCTGGCCCGCGGCGACTTCTACCAGCAGTTCCTGGACGAGGTGCTGACCTGGCGGCGCTGACCTGGCGGCGCTGACCTGGCGGGCGCTGACTGGCGCACCCCTGCCGGGTGGCTGCCTGCGTCGCCGCTGGTGGCGCTGCCTGGCGGCTTCCTGCGCAGCCGCTGGGGTGCCGCTTGCCCGGCTGCCCTCCTCCCCTACCCTGCACCTCTGCCCCCACTCCATACACATATGCGCACGCCCAGCAAGCTGCCAGCTGCCGCGTGCAGGCGCAGGCGCTGCTGGCGGGCGAGCCCAAGCCCAACACGGCAGAGGCCGACATCGCCCTGGCCTTCCAGCAGTCGGCCCTGAAGAGCACCGCCGAGACGGACGCGCTGTTTGGGGCGGTGGCGCTGCGCTGGCTGCCCGCCGACCGCGGCGAGGACGAGGGCGGGCCGCCCGTGTGGCACCCGTCCCGCTGCGCCGCCGTCAGCGTGCCGCGGTACGATGCCTGGGACGGCCTGTTCCTGGAGTGCGCCGTGGAGTGGCCCCTGCAGCTGCTCTTCCCGCCAGAGGTGAGCGCCAGCAGCCAGAGGGGCGCGGCGCAGAGGCCTCCAGGGCTGGGCGCTGCTTGGTGCCGCACCGTAAGTCGCCTGTGGGCAGCCTCTGCGCAGCCGCCCGTTCAGGCCTGTCCGGCATCGGCGAAAGCAGTCTCACTTGATGAAAGTTCGCATGTGTGCTTCTGCACTGATTCATCAGCAGTATTTGCAGCGTTACACCCCAGCACAAGACATCTCGAGGCGGCACTGCCGTGCTGTGTGGTGCGCAGGTGATGAGCAAGTACGGCGCGCTGTGGCAGCACATGTTCCGGCTGCGGCGGGTGCAGCTGGCGCTGGAGGGCGTGTGGGCCACCCTGCAGGTGCGGGTGGACACTGCAGCTTGCTGGAGGCTGTGCAAGGGTGGCGTGCTGCTTGTGCAGCATGCTGGTGCATGGTTGAGAAACTTCAAAACCCAAGGCTGCCCATCAGCCCTAGTCGATCGACATGCTCAAGCTGCTCAGCGCCACACACGTGTCGCCGCTCCAAGCCAGCCTGCATCAGGCTGCTTCCTCCTCCCTCCCGTGCCCCCTGCCCGGCCCCCGCAGGCCCTGCACCACCGCAAGCCCGAGGACGACGGCACGCCGCGGCTGCCCGCCAGCCTGCGCGCCGCGCTGTGTGCCGAGCGCCAGCAGCAGCACCACTTTGTCTCCAACATGGCTCTCTACCTGGCCATGGATGTGGTGGGGGCCAGCTTTGGCCAGCTGCGGGCCGCCGTGGCCGGCGCCAAGGACTTTAGCGCCGCCGATGCCGCGCACCGCCGGTATGTGGACAGCATGGTGTCGCAGGTGGGTGGCTGGTCGGCTGCTTGGGCTGGGCCGGGCTGGTTGTTCAAAGTGGTCACACTCCGGGGGCGGCACCTGCTTTCCCTTATTTCCAGTTCCCTGCAATCTGAGCCGTGCTTTCTTTCTTGCTGTGCCTCTTCCTGCCGTGCGGCAGGCCTTCCTGGACATGCGGCAGCTGATGGGATACCTGGAGGACATCCTGCGGCAGTGTCGGAAGCTGTGTGCCCTGGTGCAGGTGGGGCTGGTGGGCGTGCAAAGCCTTGCATCGATGGGCTGGGCTGAAATGCACGAACGCAACAGGGAGCACCAGGAACGTGTCATGCCTAGTCGAATGTGCATCACCCCATGCGGCCGGGCGCGGTGTGGAGCATGGGGCGAGCGTGCTGGCACCCCGCAGCCTGTCTTTAGTTTGCAACAACGCAGCAGTGACACAAGGATCTGCTGTGGTGCTTTTTCTCCTTCCTCCCTGCAGCGCCTGGCTGCGGGGCTGGTGGATGCAGTGGCAGCGGCGGCAGCCCTGCAGGGCATCCGCCGCACCTTCCGCCTCAAGCATCGCGTGCTGTACCAGATCATGCAATCGGGGAAGTTGAGCAGCCGCACCCCGGCCCTGCGCCAGCTCATCACCAGATTGAACTTCAACGGCTTTGCAGAGAGGCAGGCGCGTCCGGTGCAGGAGCCTGGCAGTGCCGTGCTGCCCTCGGCCACAGCACCTGCTGCAAGCCCCTGTGGTGGCCAAGCATGAAGCATATGCCTGTTCCGATCACAACGGCGCGTTCAGCAAGGAATTCATCCACAGCTGCATGTGGCATGCTATTCAGCTTGATAATAATCTGACTGCACCCCAGGTCACCCTCCAAATCCCGCCTCTTTCTCCATTTCTCAATAGAATCTTTCAATGCAAGTGTCAATAGGTCATTTTAGGCTGGCCAGACGACCGCAGCGGCGCTTGCAGATCTTGCGCCGTGCTTCGCGCTGGCCACCGCATCACACCGCGCACTTGCCCTCTGGCTTCACCTTGGTGTAGCCGTACTTGCACCTCCGGCAGCGCCCATCGTTGCCACACAGCTCGCACCCCTTCACCGTGCACTCGTGGCACTTGCCGCGGGCGTCAATGTAGTGCGGCGTCACAAAATCACCGGTGTAGCGACATCCCAAGCACTTCTCCTGGTTGGTGGCGTCACACTCTGCGCAGAGCGGATCAGTGCACCTGCAAGCAAGCAAAGGAGCCGGCGGCGCTCAATGCAGGGCTTGAACCGACAGCTGCCGCCAAGGGGCGCCCTTCAACAGGCACTGGGTGCATGGCAGGGCCGAAGTTGTTTGATCTGTGCACCCCTGGCCGCCACATCCACCCGCGCAGCACCGCAGCAGCTCCTCACTTCTTCGGCTGCCCGCCAACCAGCACGTAGCCCTCGTCCGCAGAGAAGCAGCGGCGGGCGTTGCAGTCGCTGCAGCCACGCGGGCACTGCCGGCACTGGCCCGTCTTGGCGTCTTTGTAGGTGAATGAGTAGCAAACGTCGCACTTGGTGGGGGTCAGGCATGATGCGCAGAGTGGCACCAGGCACTGCAGCGGCAGAGAGCAGGGCCATGGCAGGTCACCCATGGCGGCGGCAGTTGTGTTGACTGGCCCACGGCATGCCCATCACGAGGGGCTGCTGCTGCGAACGGCCCAGCCAAGGCGGGCCAGGGTGCACCGCAAGTGGCAGCATAAGCTCCCACCTTGAAGCACTTCTTTTGAACGCCGTTGTAATTGTCCCAACAGGCCAAGCAACGCTTCCTGTCAGGTGTGCACTTGCTGCAGCCCATCCCCCACGGATCATACGGATCGTACCGATCGTACCGATAGAGTTCCGTGCACGGCACACAGGCGCTGTAGTCGAGGCACTCGACACACTTGGAGCCCACCAGCCGGAAGCCAGAAGCGCATGTGCGGCAGCGCCCAGCTCGGCTGCACTTGCGGCAGTTGGGCATACACTGCAGCAAAGACCAGCGAGTGCAATGGGTGCAGGGTGGGTATTGGGTGCACACGGGCATGCATGGGTGGGCGGGTAAAGCGGCAGAGGTGCGGGGTGGGCTTCGGCCAGGCACGGCGGGCAGCCAGGCAGGCCCCAGTCACTGCTGGCATTGGCGTCACCTGCCGGCAGCGGCCATTCCAGTCGAGGTAGGTGGCGGTGTTGTTGGGCCCCGATGGAGTGCACCTGGCGCAGCGCTTGCTGCAGACTGGTGTCGACTCCCAATACTCGCACAGCGGGTCGACGCGGTCGCAGGGCACACACTTTCCGCCGCTCAGATGGAAGCCATCTTGGCAGGCAGTGCACTTGCCCTTGGCGGTGCATGCATTGCAGTGCTCCACCAGGCCGTCGCACTGCGGCATGAAGGAGCCCGTTGGATGCAGGCGATTGGCATCAGCGCAGCTGCTCGGACGCTTCAACAAGGATACCGGGTTGCCTCTACGGGCCACAACTGGCTCACCGGCACACAGACGCCATTGCGCAGGACCCTGCCCAACGAGTCCTCGTCCCACCCTGGACCACAGCGCTTGCACTTCCCATCCTGATCACAGGCCATGCAGCCGTACTTAACCAGGTGTGTGCACTGCGGGGGAGGAAGAGGGGCGGCAGAGCCGCAGCTGCGGTGGGTGGTGCACATGCACCGGCAGCATGGCAGCAGCTGGGTGTCTAACTGGCTTCCTCCACAGGCGAGTAGCACATCCAGTGCCAGCCGCCTGCTCCCTTAGAACATCGCACCTCGCGGCAGATGCCCTCCCTGTCCATGTACACAGGCACGTCGTCGAATTCGCCGTACTTAGTCCAGGCCGGCCACTTCATGCACTTCTGGCACTTGTCTGATGAAGGGCTGCACACGGCGCAGTTACTGTCCTTGCAGGGATGGCAGGTGTTGTTGATCATCACCGAGCCCTCGCCACACTTGGTGCACTTGGTGCTGTCAGGGCTGCAGGCGCGGCAGCCTGTCCGCCAGGGGTGCTTAGTGCACTGCACAGCCGGGCGACGGGTAGGTCAGCAGCAGAGTCCGTTGCTCCTCCGACCCGGCACGAGGCATGGCGCAAGCTGCAATAACTGCCCACGGAGCCCGCCCGCTGCCTACACCGCTCACACCTTGGAGCAGGTGCCATTGGGAGCCGTGACGATCAGGTAGTCAGGATTAGGAAAACGAGATTCCCAGTCGTCGTGTTCCCTGCATTTGGCGCAAGAGCCATCGGGGCGGCATTCCGCGCAGTAGTCGCCGCAGGACTGGCAGGTGCCGTTGCAGGTAATGTACAGTGAGGGGTCCCAACACTTGGTGCACTGCCCGGTGGAGTTGCAGGTTGCGCAGCCGTCAATCTTGCACTGCGGCCCGCGGGTGTGGGTGTGTGTGGGAGGTGTCAGTTGTGCATTGTGGGCAGGGCGGCAGGATTGGGGCCGAACCCCACATGCCACCAGGGGGCACCCACCCGACGGCATGAACCACTTGTGTGGAGGTACATGTTCATGTGCTCTTCACACGTGGTGCACTTGGTGCCGGACGCGGAGCACGTCTTGCACCCGGTGGCTTTGCACTGCGGAGGAAGGCAGGGGAGGAACAGTTTGCGGCCAGCGGGGAAGAAGCGGCGGACGCGGGGAGGAGCTGCGGCGCCACCACAGCGCCCACCTTGGTGCAGACGCCGTTTGAGTCCAGGAACATGCCATCCACGCACAAGGTGCATCGACTCTTCTTCTGGTCACATGAAATGCACTTGAGATCCGCACACTGCAAAGGGGTAGGGGGCGCAGACTGGTGCGGCGGGACGGGGCGCAGGCTGGCGGCAGGGCCAGGGCACCGTGCCGTGGACAAAAATGCGGGAAGCCGGCACGGCTCACGATCGGCGGCCTGCTCCGCTGCCAGGGCTCACACCTTGGTGAACGCTGCAGGGCCAGACGACAAGGAGCAGGCGGACTCACGGACGACAAAAAGCGCTTGTTAGTACGTGCACTTGTTGCAGACCACCCCGCGGCGCCCGAGGCCTCACCGAGCGCTGAATGGGCGACCGTGAGGGCTACCAGGGCTACCAGGGCCACGGCGGAGCACGGGAGACGCGGTGGCCTCATGAGGGCGGCCTCCACGCAGTGTTGGCAATCTGTGAGGTGCTGCAGCAGGAATCAGCTGAGAGAGCAGCAGAGGGAGCGAGCGTTCAGTGTGTGAGCGGGCAGGCAGTACTGCAGGTCGTGGAGAAGGCATGGTGCGGTAAGAGCAACTTGCTCTTACCCTAAACCCTAAACCCCTTTGAAAGGGGGTGGACATGAGAGTGGGGATTCAGGGTGGGAATGCAGGCAACGCGCTACCATATATGCCGAGTTTCCCAAGGCGTTTCCAGCGTTTCTGAGCGGAAAAAAGTGATGTTCCTGGGGAAAATGAGTGAGTTTCATCTGGGCTTTCCAACGGTTCCAACGGCGCTGACTAGCTGACTAGCGCGGGCGCTGCCTGGCGCTGGCGGGGCTTTTCGATTCACGCACAATTCAACCATCTTTCGCGTTTATCGTATGATATTCATCAGGAGGATCGTGTGTCTTCGTGAGCGCCCCGGCTCGCTGCCTCTGGGGGCCGCCCATGCGAGCATGGATGTCAGTGACTGCCGCCGCTGCCGCCAAGGCAGGCTGCACAGTGGGGTCTGCTCACTTCGATCTGGTGTCTCACTAAAACGGCAGCAGTAACCTGCCGTAAGTACAAGCGGGACGGCTGCGTGCCCAAATGGGTTTCGAAACTCTGGCAGGTGCCGACAAACTCCACAATTTCGCTTCCCTGTAGTCTCTAAATAGGGCTAGAATAGTTAGAACGCTGTCGGAGCGCCTGCAGGAAGCCAGAGCAAGAGGTCATGGCCAAGGTCCGCGCAGGTGTGGTGGCAGCCCGCCTTCAGGCTAGGAGAACGTCCCACCGCAACCGGCGGTTGTCACGCAAGCCGGCAGGCCGTGCATGCGGGGCCGGAGGGTGCTCTGCGGAGTCTCGTGCAATCATGCCTTCCTGTCCCCCACCTGTAGGCCTCCACCATTGCTGGAATGCCCCAAAACACTCCCCCGGAGGAGGAGGATGCTCGTGGAACGCCGCCGCGACTGGGCCTCTGCGCCCGGTGAGGGCTGCGGCGGCACGCGCTGCCCGCTTTTGCAGCCAGCCGCCCTGCCGCCCTCGTGCAAATGCCAGCCCTGCGTGCTCACCCTTGCCTGAAAGACTGATATACACTCTCCACTCGTCCATTGCTTCGAGCAGGATACTGAGTTCAGGTCATACCATCCGGGCTGAAGGACGACGGTGTCCATGACGGCAGCGAGTTCCCATCTCCTCCTTGCCCACCGCCTGCGTGCTCTGGCCACGCCCACCACCTCACTCCACCGTGCCCCTGTCAGCGTCCCATGCCACTGACCCACGGGCGCCCTACTCTTCTCGCCATCCCCTTCCCGCCCCCCTGTCTGCCTTCATCCCTCGCTGCGCCCACCCTGCCCCGCTCTGCCTCGCCCTGCCCTGATGCCGTTTTGCCAGCTGCCAATGTGCCTGCGCCCCACAGCCATCAACCCTACTGCCCCTACTGCTGCTGTAGACCAGCCCAAGCTGCAAGCGCAAGGATAACAGCAGGCTGAGCGCCCCACTGCGCATGGTCGCGTTGTGAACAAGGTGAAGCAGCATTTCTGGGCCGACATCAAGCACTTGAGGCTGTCGCCGCCCAATGGTTCCTTTTGCGCAGTGGCTTGTGAGCGGGCTGGGGCGTGGGGTGCTTCCTGGGTCAGGGGAACAAAGTGGGTTGGGCTTTTGGCTTTTGGGATTCCTTCAAACCCCCCCCCTTTCAGTACCTTGAGGAATTGGTTGCACCACCTTTTGGGTGTGCCTTCCGGCTGGACCCGGGCCAGCACCATGTTCGAAAAAAGGGCTTCCCCCTGAATGATCATTTTTTCCCCCCTTTATCCCAACGTGTGAAAGAACTTGGGGGCCCCTACAGCAAGGTGAGGGTCAGCCATTTGGTTATTGTTGCGGTTGCTTTCTCCAACCTGGATGGGCAGCTTGCCACTTGCCCCCCCCCCACTTTGACCTTTGCTCCACACCCCCAACCACGACCTGATGTGCCATCCCCTGTACTTGACTATCTTACATCAGCAGCTCCCCTGCGGGTACGCAGGGGTACTGCTGGTACCATGTAATGCAACACACGTGCGCAGCGAGCGCCGCACTGCGGCGGCGCTGGCCAGCGCCCAGCAGCACCCGCGCCGGGCAGCGTTCTGCCAGCGCTAGTGCTAATCAACCTCGCTGATCAGCGCTGGTGCTTGTTAGCGCTAATCAGCGCTGCTGGAAAGCCCAGATGTGACTAGTGACTAGTGCCCTCCAGGGCCCCAGCGCGCCAGGTGACAATAAACCGTGAGCTAGGGACGGGAAAGGCCCGGAGAGCTGTATGGTGCAGCCAGCGCTGTTTTCAGGAACTCCCGAAGACACCGGGAGACCTTTGGGGAGTCGCAGCGACGCAGACAAGGGTCCTGATGTCAGCAAGAGATGCTGTGCCCTGCTGCGTGGGGCATAGCAGGCATGCTGCAGCATGCATTCTCCATCCATGGTGCCTGCACACCCTCTGGCACAGGCTGCCTATCGCAGCCAGCACTGTGCACTAACTTGGTGTGCTGCTACATGTGTGGCATGCACTCCTACAGCGCTACCAGCCCGCCACACGCCGCCGTCGCCTTGCCGCTCAACGCGTGCAAGGCTGTGGGGCGGCATGCGCTGGCCGCCACATTTTTCTTCACACTTTGGCACGCGGCTGTGCAACCTTGGTCGCATACTGTTGAACGACCCTCGTAGTGTCGCAGCATGGCTGCTGCTGGCTAGGAGGTTTCCTTTTCCAGTTGGAGGTGCAATGAACGGAGCGGCGGCACACCCAGCCGCCAAAAACTACATCAACACTAGGATGGGCACGCCCTCCCTCGCGCCGCCCCACCAGCCCAGAATACAACTGAAACTTGAATGTCGAGGGGATATGTAGGAGGGAGGAAGGGGCAGGGTTGCAGCAGGCAGCCGTCTTTGTCGTCGCGGCGGGCGGCCCGCCGGCGGCGCCACAGCGGTGTGCCCAACACTGGTTACCACACCCCACAATTCAACCAACCTGCATAGCTCATCAAAAGTCTGTTCTACCTATCAGTAATGCAGGCCTCCAGCCTTGCTTAAGGCCAGGACACTGGATTCTACTCGTGACGGCTGGTGGCCACACGAACGCGGTGGCGGCAGCGGTCGGGCTCCCCAGCCCACACAGCGACGCTCCCCCGCTGCATTCAGATGCGGTTAATGTGTCGCTGGGGTTCTCCAGAGGCCCGCAGCACACCTCTCCTTGCACACGACTCCATTGCCAGAACTCCTCGGCCATTGATTGCGGCGCTCAGTCCTCTGCAACCCGGAAATTGCACTTTTTGATGTTTTTTGTGGTGTGGGAGGGGCCGCAGAACTGAGACTGCCAGAAGTGTTTGGGGTCGTGCATGGGGGCGCCCATGGGCGGTTGGAGGGCGTGCAGGGCCGGTCCGCGCCCTCCAACACACTTCTGGGAAGGTTGAGAGTGATCAGGGACAGCGGGAGGGTCAAACGGCCCTGAATGTGAAAGTTGGTTCGGAAGCCTAATGTCCTCGTGCGGACCTTGCTGCCTGCTATAAAACATCGGCTATCTCGACGTAGGCTGGCTGGGTGCACAAGGTGGAAGGGGCCGTGGTGCCGACATCTGGCGCGCCACCCGCCATCTGGCCATTCTCCCATGCATGCATGTAATCCCCTGCATTTCGCCTTGTTGGTCATTCTCTCCTAGTGCCCTTCCTTAGAGACTGCCCTCTGCAGTCAGATGTAAAGCCCTTCTCTCACAACAGTCCTCTGAATGGGACCAGCGAGTGGTTGAGGCTGGCTTGCCTACAGCTCACTTGATCGGTTGGGCGAACTCGTGCTTCAAGCGCGCATGGGCGGGTGAGTCATGCAGCTGTTTGCAGGGGTATAGGCGCTGCTTGACGCGACAACTTCCCTGGGCCTCTGCAGGCCCGATAGCCGCCGCCATGTTGTTGGTATGACAGCGGAGAGTCGGGGCGGCCTGCCTTTAATTGACCTGCGACAGGATGCGCGTCGGGGCGGCGGCGGCAGCGGCAGTGCCAGCGTAAGCTCCGCTGCAGCTTGGCCCATCCTCCACCGCTGCTCCTTTGCCGCAGCAGCCCTCCTCGCCACGGTTGTGCTGTCGTCCATGACCCACAACCACTGCGCAGTGTTCAGCAGCAGCGAGTTAGTGGTGGCCGCGGGCGCGGCCACCTGCGCCGCCGCCTCGCCCGCCGCCTGCGTGCCTAGCACCGGGGACCGCCGCCGACGGCCACGCGTCTACATGCTGGCCAACAACCCCGCCGCCAACGCCACCTGGGGCAGGCTGCAGATAGGGAAGCAGGACTTGGTCGTCATGTTTAACCTGGCCAACCCGCTGGCCCACTTTGACCACGTGCCGCCGCAGCAGATGGTCATCTTCCTGGGGCAGCAGCTCATGCTCAAGGGCGTGATCAACGAGGAGAAGCTGGGGGAGCTGGCGCAGCGCTTCCAGCGCATCGTGTTTGTGACGTGTCAGCTGGCGCGCCGGATTGGCGACGGCGACGCGCTCCTGCTGCAGCAGCTCCTGGCAGTGCCCCACTTCGAGTCCTTGGACTACAAGTCAGACTTCATAATGTGGGTGTGGAGCGACTACAAGTTCAGCAAGATCGTGAAGCTGCCCAGCACCGGCTACATCACGTACAAGTACTTCCAGCGGTACATGCCCACCCACGACATCGTGCTGTTGGGGTTCAGCGGCGAGGGCGACCCCGTACACAACTGGCAGTTCGAGCAGGTGTTTGCCGACAACTGCGTGCGCCACATGTAATGCGCTGCGCCAGCAAAATGACTGCACCTGACGTGGGGGCTGCTGGTGGCACACCTCACATAGCGTAGGGGTGGGGGGCGAGTAGGTGGCACCGTCACATAGTGTAGCAGGAGGTTTCTCTGCTAGCTCTATTCTTGATATCAGCCCTGTTTGATCTGCTTTGATCGGTTGCCTTGGTTCATTTCCTCTCTTTCTAACCGGGGTCTTTCCTCTCCGCTGCTGTGGTTCTTACCTGGTGTCCAGCTGCTGTCTGGCAAGCTTATCTCTGTAACACAGCACGCTCAGCTAGCGGCTACAGGGTACAACTTTGCAGATGCGTGGTGCCTGCCGGTGGACAGTGGCAAATTGTGTGCTCGGTGGCGTTAGGTATCGCGCACCAGCCAGAGGGGCTGCCAGGACCCTTAGCTGCCAGTGCAGCTGTGTCCACCCAACGGTGGTGGGGTTTTGGGGCGGGGGTGGTGGGGCAGCTAAGCGCGCTGGCACTTTAAGACGTGCCAGCTACCTTATCTGGATATTCGCAGCCGCATTGGAGAGAAATGGAGCAGCGGCAGGGCGAGAACAGGGCGCCAACCTTGTCCAGGGAGGAGGAAGGCAGGGCGGATGGGCGCACATGCGGCAAGCATTCTCGCTAGTGCGGGTCTCATTTGCTTGCAGTACCTCGGTGTTGCGCTGCCTCGTTTGCCTGCGAGACCTCACCATGCAAGCCCACGCGTCTCTCCACCGCACTGCGCGGCCCCAGCGGCACGGCATGCAGCCCTCTCGGGCCACAGGAAGCCCCGCCTGGCGCCCGGCTCGGTGCCCTGGGGCGCCGCCGCCGCCGCTCCCGACAGCCCCCTGCTGCCGCCGCCTGCGCCACGCGGCAGCAGCACCCGCTGCCGTGCCAGCAAGCAGCCAGAGCAAGGCTTCTTCGGCCAAGCCGACCCCAGCGGTGAGCGGCAGCATGGTTCCTGCCTTGTGTGCATTCTCAGGCAGCCTGCTGCCGCCTGCAGCCAGCGGCTCCTCGGCCCGCCTCCCCCGACCTGATCGCCGCCGCTGCCGCCCTCGCCTGCTGCAGCCCAGGTGCTGCCTGTGAAGAGCGGGCTGCCTGGCGACATCACCAAGCGCAGCAAGTCACGCTGGGAGTCTGATTTCATTTGGAACAAGGTCGGCGGGCGGATGGGCGACTGGTGGGGAGAGGCGAGAGGTGGGAGGTTGATGTTGTGCTTTGGAGAAGCAGGGGGTGGATGCAGCAGTGGGAGAAGCAGCAGGGAGCAGCAGCAGGGCGGAAAAGGTTGCCTGCCTCTGCCTGGCCCCCGTTGTGCCGCGTGCCCGCCGGCCTCGTCGCGCCTTGCATATTTTGCCGGCCTCGCATGCGACCGCCCACCCTCCCTCCCTCCCTTCCCTCCTGGTGCTCCTTGCGCAGGACTGGGCCAAGCAGCTGGACTATGAGGAGAGCCTGCGCAAGCAGCAGGAGGAGGGGGAGCGGCTGCGGGCCGAGGGCGACGGCGGCGGCGACGGCAAGGGCTTCCTCAGCCTGCGCAGCAAGGTGGACCTCAACAGCATGGATGTGGACCTCAGCCAGCAGCTGCGGGCGCGCAAGAGCAGCGCCGCCGCCGCCTCCTCCTCCTCCTCCTCTCCGGCCGCGCCCCGCCAGCCGCGGCCGCGCCAGGCGCCGTGGTTCGCAACCGTGCCGCCCACCCGCGTGGAGCAACGGCAGTGGCAGCGGTCGGGCAAGTTTTCGCGGAAGGTCGTGGCGGTGGCTCCCACCAACGAGGCCGAGCAGGTGCGGTATCACTGCCTGCCTGCCCTGCCCTGCCCTGCCTGCCTGCCTGCCCGCCTGCCTGCCTGCCTGCCTGCCCACCCACCTGCCTGCCTGCCTGCCTGCCTGCCCGCCTGCCCTGCCCTGCCTGCCTGCCCGCCTGCCTGCCTTGCCTGCCTGCCTGCCTGTTGCTGTGTGTGCCTCAGTCGGCATGGGCCCTCACCTTGCGCAATCCTCTCTACTGCTGACGCCGCGCCAGCGTGCATGCCCCGCCTCGCCCCGCCCTCCCCACACAGCCGCGGCCAGAGAGCCGGTCGCAACCGCCCCCACCTTGCGGCCGTCCCGCCTGCCCAAACCCTGCACCCAACCTGCCTGCCCGCAGGAGGCGCTGGATGCCAAGGTGGAGGCTGAGCGGCGTCGGTACGACGAGCTCAAGGCGGAGGCTTCAGGCCTGGGCCTCGGGCCTCACGCTGGCCTGCCTGGCCGCCAGCTTCGCCTTCTACGGCAGGTGGGCAACCATGGGGAGGGGCTCGTCTTGAGAGCATTGAGGGGCTCATCTTGAGAGGCCAGCCTCACACCTCACCCCGGCCGCGCCGCCCCGCGCACCCGCGCACAGCGACGCACTCGCACGCTCGCGTTTGCACACCAGCTCAGCCGCCTGCCGCTGTGCCTGCCGCCTGTGTGTGCAGGGACGTGGCCGCCAGCTACGGCGTGGGCGCCCTGGGCGGCCTGGTCTACCTGCGCCTGCTCAACCGCAGCGTGGACGGCGTGGGTGGTGGGCTGGCGGGCGCGCTGGGCCAGCAGCGCCTGCTCATCCCCATCATCCTGGCCCTGGGCTACAACAGGTGGGTGGGAAGGGGGTGCGAGCGGCTGAGTAGGTTGTGTGCCTGGTTGTGTGCCTGTGTGTGGTGGAGCTGGCTGGCTTGCCTGTTTGGTGGCGGCTGCGTGTGGGTGTGGGGTGCGGCGTGCCTGGCCATCACAGCTTCTCGCGTGCAACAAGCGCTGGGCATGAGGATGTGATCAAAGCTTCTGAGAGGCTGACGAAGCATGCACCGCCTGTACCGCCGCCTGCACCGCCGTCCGTGCCGCAGGTACAACACGCTGGTGGCGGAGGAGACGGGGCTGACGCTGCAGCTGGCGCCCATGCTGGTGGGCTTCTTCACCTGCAAGGGCGCGGTGCTGGCCAGGCAGTCGCTGGCGCTGTTTGCCGAGCTGGCCTGCAGCGCGCAGGGCGGGCAGCGGGGCGGCGACGGCGCCGACGGCGAGGTGGGGGAGCAGGAGGCGGGCATGGGTGTGGCGTCGGTGGACCGGGCGTTCAGGAAGAAGATGCTCAACGAGATGTGAGGCGCCTTCTGCGCGTGGGGTGTGCCCCCAGGGCAGGTAGCGGTACCGGCCCTCGCTCCGCCTCGCAGCTGCTGCTGCCGTGTCCCCACCCACCCCACCCAGCCCTTCACTTATGTGTCTCTAATACTGTGAGAAGAGCGGCCGCCAGCTGCTGCCCGTGTCATATGCTTGTATTTAACTGAGGTCTCGCCAGGCCGTTGTTGCTCCACCCTGCTGCGTGCTTCTCCCCATTTTCCACCCTGCCGGACAATGCACGTGCTGATGGATCAACGCCGGCTGGCTCCCCTGTGAGCGAGTTTGGAGACTTGAATTAAAGTACACAGTTGCTAGAAATCCGAGGAAGACAAGCTGCACATAATCAAGAGGAGCAGGAGAGATTCAGGACACCACAAGTCCACGCCCAGCGGAGGCATTTGCTGCTCCCCCCAAGCGACGCGCCCGATGGGCGCGGTGGTTTGGTGGTGGGAGCGGAGCGGGCTCGCGGGCGGCTGGGAGCACGGGGGTGGATTGCGAGCAGCGGCCGCCCCTTGACCCCCCCGCCATGCCCTCAGCGCCCGCGGCTATGATTGAAGATGGAAAGCATTTCACACGGAGTCTGCTGCTGCTGCTGCTGGCGGCGCCCGGCGCAGTGGAGAATGTGCCAACGTCCAGCCCATCGTCCTACAGCTATGCCTCCTCTGACGGCAGGGAAGGTGGCACGGTGCCGCACCGCGGTGTAGGCGAGGTGGCACCCACGGTGGTGGCGCTGAACCCCTCCCCCGCCCACTGGTGGCCGCAGCCCCCAGCATGTGGGCGCCACCTCCTGCTGGTCAGGCATCTGCGGCCCCCAGCCGCAGTGCAGCCTTTGACCTGTTTGACATGCCGTTGGTGGTGCCTGCCTTCAGCATCCGGGACACAGTGTAGGTGCAGCGGCCAGGCCTGCCCCCCACAGCTGGCATGGTAAGGGTTGCCGGCAATGCAATTCATGCGTGCGCCCTGCAGCCGAGCGGACAGCACCTGTTACCAATGCGCCGACCGTTGCATCTGTTGTGTTTGGCGCAGGTGGCGGCATGTGACGCGGCCACAAACCCTCCCACATACAAGGTGGTGGTGTCCGGCAGCCACTGCCTAGAGCTGCCCGAGACCATGCTTGCACCACGTGTGTGACGGGCTGGCCCATTCTGTACAGCCCTGTATACTTAAAAAGCATTGTTTTTGCTGTAGGCAATAATGCTGGAATGCATTGGGCAATGTCATGTGAAAAAGTAGGTAATAAGGAACTAGAGACAGAGGCGTTGTTGCCGGCAGGGTAAGGGTGCCGGCGACTGAGGCCAGGGCTGCTGCCAGGAGGGGCAGGGTTATTGATGCTGCTGCTGGGCAGGGGCCTGCTGCTGCTGGGCCATGGTCTGCAGGATGGCCAACAGCCCTGCGTTCTAGCCGCACTTTCCTTCATGGCGGCTGCCATGGTCGCCAGCTCCTTGGAGGCGGCGGCGCGGCTCTCTTCCGCCGCCTTCCCGTGTGCCGCCTGCCCCTCCAGCAGTTTCAGGTGCTGCTCCTGGAATCGGTCGTTGCTGGTAAGGCTGGTGGCTAGCGCATCCACCAATCTCTCAGACTGCGAGGGACAGGGGCATAAAGTTGAGGACAGGGCAGCGGCCCGTGTGAGGCAGTGTGACCAGAAGGTAGGGCAGGTGCTGGTAGCAGAGGTACAGAGGTACAAGTGGGCCCGTTGAGCTGCCCACCTTGGCTTGGCGCTGCTCTTCAGCGTCGTGTCGGCGCTTGCGGTCCGCTGTGACACCCAACATGGCAGCCTCTCGCCCGACTGCTGGCTCCACAGCGCCACCGGGCTGCGCTGCACCACCTTGGCGACGGCGGCTGATTTGCTGCCGTGTGCCCTGGATCCGGGCAATGGGGTCACCGCTATCCTGCTGCGTGCCCTCCTGTTGAGTGTCCACCCAATGCTCCCGCAGCAGCGCATAGCAGCGGCGTGCGAAGACAGCGTTGTACTAATCTTTCTTGTCCATGCTGCCATTGTCCAACGCCGCCTTGAGTTGCTCGTCAGCTGCAGTAGAGGGGCAGGCAGGAAGCACGGCAAACCAAGCCAGCATGACGGGTGAGTAAGCGGCAGCGTGCGTCAGCGGCAGCGTATTAGCGCGTGGGCGCAGAGGAAGTGGGCGCAGGAGGCACAGGACGGTATGGTGCGGCACCAGGTGGCACCCCAGCGCCTGCAGAACTCACTTGTGCCCTCGTGCTTGGAGACGGTGGCTTGGACACTCTTCAGCTTGGCTGCCCTGCTAGTGAAGAAGCTGCCGATCTGGCTGCCTGTAATGTGTTCAGCACGGCCGCCCCAGCCTGCCATGGGGTTGGTGGCGGCAAGCTCCAGCGCGTCGGCTGCCAGCGCTGCGTTCAGCTCACCAGAGTTCCTCTGCAGCAGCATGGCAGCCCACAGGGAGGGTGTGGGTGAGATGGATGCTGGAAGGTGTAAGTGCGAAACTGGGCAGGAGTAGCTACAGCCCCCCATGGGGCTGCCCCCAACGCAGGTGCTTGGCACACACAAGCCCCCAAGCTCTCACAATGCCTACCCCACCCACCTGTGGCAGACCCGCCAAGGAGCCATTCGACAGCTTCTTGGTGCCGTTCCAGATGAAAGCTAGCTTGACCGCGTAAAAGCGTGCGCAGGCGGTGGAGTGTGCATTTGCCCCAGGCCCGGCACCATGGTTGTCGCCAGCGTCAACGTGGCTGCCGCCGTGTGCTCGTTCCCGAAAGGAAGCCGCCTCGGATGGCAGTGCGGAGGAAGGCACACCAGTAAGGGAACGCATTGCTGATGGTGCGGGTGCCTCGGCTGCGGCGGCACAGCCGGCGGCCTGCGTGGGTATGAGCAGCGAGCCGGGCTGCGCCAGCACGGCCATGCGCGCCCGAAGGTGCAGCTGCAGGCCCGGCTCGCCCTCTGTCTGCTGCAAGGCGTGCAACAGAGAGGCCTGGTGCTCAGAGGGGGTGACAGGCGGCTCCAAAAGGCCGATGAGCGAGGCAGCAGGGGCGGGCCTGGGGGCTGGTGCCGCCGCCGCCCTGTGTCATGCATGGGCACGACAGGCGGCGGCGGCAGTGACGGCGGAGGCTGCAGTGACGGCGGTGGTGGGCACAGCCGCGAGGAGGGCAACAGAAGAGAAGGAAGGTCCAGCGAGGCTTCGTCGGGAGTCGCCCCCGGCATGGCGGCGAAACCCAAGAAATTAGGGCCGCCAGCGAAATGCATGGTCGGTGTTAAACTGCCGATGGGGGTGACGATCCCACTTTGGCCCACCAGTGCACGGTTTTCACTCGCACAAAATCTGAAGCTTTCCAGGCCCTGGAAACCCCGGCAGGCCAAATTCATCAAAGGAGGTAAATGCCACTCTATTTGCATCCGCGGGGATGACTCGACAACGGACGTTTGGGTATTAAACTCGACAGCTGGAATCAAACTCTGCAGAGTCCTTCATTCGGATTGTCAACCACCTCAGCAAGCGCTGCACCATGGTTGCTGAGTACCCGGGGGCCAAACCATGCAGATTGTCTGGAATTACTGCTGCTCTGTTCCTGGTTGTGGGGACCGTGGTGTGGCAGCAGACGGGGCGGCAACCGGCGCGGTTGGCTGGGCAGCGAGCGCATACTGCGCCAACCGCCCCCAGTGTCACCGCCCCCGCCGCCGTCCACGGCTATGTGCACAAGCAGGGCACGGCCGACCTGCGCAGCTGGGCCATCCCCCAGAAGACCTTTCGGGCCGAACGGCAGCGGCAGTGGATGAAGGAGCGGGAGGCGGCGCTGGAAAAGGGTGAGGCCTAAGCTAAGTTGGGCCCTTACGCGGCCCCGCTGCGCGCTTCGCTCGTCGACCACCACTGCCTCCCTGGCTGTCAATGCGCGATGCGCTGATCCCACCTTGCAGGCAGGTTGCCGCCACCATTGCCTCTGATGGCGATGGGTGTCTGCCAAGTGTTTGTAAATCACGCTTATAAACTCATTTACATCCGCCACCCCAAGACCGGTTCCAGCAGTCTGCTTTGCCACTTCAACGGCTGCAATGGCACCGACCTGGATGCCGCGCATCCCACCCAAGATCCGCTGAGCTTCCAGATACTGAACGCGCTCGCCAGAGTGAGTAGAGGCGTGCATGCACGCATTGCAGGATTGTGCTTGGCCGATGTGCCCAGCAGAGTGGATGGGGCATAATGGTGTGCGAGTGGCTGTGTGCTCTCGCCCGCCCGATTCTTGCCTGCTGTGTGGCGCCAGCTGTGTGGCTGCTGATGTAGCAATCCTTTAGGCATGCAGAACATGACTGGGCGGGAGCTGAACAAGCTGTGGAAGGACTATTTTGTCGTCAGCTTTGTGAGTTGGCAGGGAACCACACAGGCAGCTCCAGCAGCCGGCAATGTGCATGGTGCTGCTACACCACCCAGTCCTGGTGCCCCAACAATGCGGTACCGCGTGCTGCAGGTGCGCAACCCATTTCAGCGTGCGGTCAGCATGTACCGCATGTTCATGCGGGAAGTGGAGCTGGGCGGTACCGAGGACCGCACCTACACCTGGAACCAGTTCTGTGCGGACCCGGCGGGGTTTGGGGCCAAGTGCGAGGCTGATGAGAAGTGCAAGACGTGAGCAGTGCATGGAGCGGGGGATGCAGAAACCTGTGCACACGGCAGTGGAGTGCACAGGCAGCCTCCACGAGCACCGGGCAGGCAGCAATCTCTAGTGGCTTGCAGCCCTGCCAGGTGGCATGCAACTCAACATATCCTGTCGGTTAGCGGCGTGCTGTCCACACCCTCTACTACCCCACCCCCATGTTCCCCCACGTGCTGCGTACCAATCACATCGGCGCGCCCCCCACACGCAAGCCATCCCGCCGTGCAGGAGAGGAGGGCAGAGCTACACATTCACCCACATGCAACCCCAGATGGACTGCATGGTGACGGAGGGCGGCGGCTGGGCGGTGGACTTCATAGGCCGGGTGGAGCACATGGATGAGGACCTGCAGGCGGTGCTGGATGAGCTGGAGCGGCGTCGAGAAGCTGACGTGCCGCCGGTGCGAAGCTTGGGCATGCGTGCAGGCAGCAGGACTGGTGCCGCCTGCTGGGGCAGGGTATGGAAGGTGGCGGCATGGCTTTGGAGCGTTAAGGGTGTGGCCGTGCTTGCGCTACAGACTGGGGCTGCCTGCCTGCGCGTTGCCCTGGCTGTTTGTTTTGCAGGTGAGGCCTTTGGAGAACGGCCTGAGGCACTACAACGAGCGTGGCTGCAACCACAGCAAAGAAGGTCGGGGCGGCAGCGGCGGCATGCGCCGCAGGGGTGTATGCATGCGAAGGGCGGGGCCCTGCCGCTTGCTCCACGCCCTGGCCCCCATCCCTTGGCCAGCCATGCTTCTGGCCTATGCCTGCCTGCCACACTCACCTGCTTGCCAGAGGCATGCCCCCATGCCTGCCTGCAGAACTAGAGCGACTGGCAGCCTTGGGCAAGCCCATGGCGAAGGAGCAGTACTGCGAACCCGAGCAGTACTATGAGGGCCAGCACGCGGCTTGCTTACGCGCCATACCGCACCACTATGCCAGCGATGTGCACATGCTAGGGTTTGATTGAATTGCAGATTGATTGTCCAATTCCGATTTTCCAAATTTACCATAGACAACTGCAGCAGTGGAAAAGCTGAAGGTCTAAAGGTGCAGTGGTGGATAGACGTGTGGCCCTGCAATGGCCGGGCTCAGGTGAGTGCAGGTGCCTGTTGCAGGTTGCAATTTGCGGCTCATCGCAGTGCAGCTTTCTGTGGCTGTCAGCTCTGCACATTGGCTGAAGAGGCGTTACGCATACACACAGCTGTCTCCATGCACTGGCCTGCACCGGCATCAAGCAAAGGTGTCGATGATTCCCAGTGATCGACTGGCAGAAATGCATTTGAAAGTGGTTGAAAGGTGTGGTCTGTGCTTGTTGGAGTATCTGTGAGTGCAATTACAGCAGCGTGCCAAGAAAGAAAGAAATTGTTTGTGCGAGCCCCACCAGCCTAGCTGGACACCGCTGCCTCTGCCGCGCCCACACCGTCGCCATCCGCCATGGCGCCGCCAGCGCCCGGCACCGGCGGGTAGGTCATGCTGGCTGGTCGCCCTGTGTCCACCAGACGCTGCTGCCGCTGCTGCTGCAGGGCCGCCAGCAGCTCCACATCCTGCCACGGCCCCGGCTCAGCGCTGCAGGATGGCAGCAAAGCGCACCGTGTGCAGGCTCTTAGAAAGGCAGAGCATCCCGACCGGACGAGCGCCCTGACCCCGGTAGTGCAGCAAACACGGCCACCTCTAGCGACGAGCCCAGGCCCTCGGCAGAGCGGCGATGGCAAGCCAGGCACCTTTTTTGTCATGTCTGGCAGAGAGCTTCACCCAGGGCCTCACCTCATGGGGGTTGCGTTGGAGCCTCCATAGCACTGCATCAGGTGCTCCGGAGCTATCAGCTGCAGCAGCTCCGCCTGATAGTCGGCGCCCAGCACCTGCAGCGGGCCAGCAAGGGAGGCCCCGTTCTGGTGAGACGGCCCGCAGCTTGGCGGCCGCTTGGCGGCGGCAGCCAAAAGCTTCTGCTCCGCCGCAGCACATGGCATGCACGGCAGATTGTTATGAGCCGCTTGCGATTCCTGTACTGTCAGACGAATGGAGGCGCATGGGAAAGGAAGGGCAGGTTTCTGAATGGCTTGGCTTGAAGGAGGCTGGGTTGAGTTTGGTTGGACCCACCTCGATCTTGACCTGCGTGCGCGCATCCAACAGGTACTTGATCATCGACCAAATGACCCTGCAGGGCAGAGAGGCAGGTGCGTGCACAATGATTGCGGGCCGATTGGTAAAGGGCAAAAGCAGCGGCGGCCCACGCCAGGCCAAGCGCAAGCAAGTGCAGCATGCCAGAGCTGCGCAGCAGCTGGTAGGGCTGTGCTGGGCGAAAAGATGCCACATGCTGCCCTCTCCAAAGCGCTGCTGGATGCGCACAGAGCTGCGCCCACCTGAAGGTGGTGGGGGCGTTGATGATGACACACTTCCACATGAGCTCGGGGTAGTAGTCCTGCAGGTGGAAAGACGAAAGGGAAAGAAAAAACACATCTGAAAGGGGCTCAGGGAGGCCGAGGCACGCACTGGGTAGCAGGGAAGCAATGGCACGGAGCTGCATGTAGGCTCTGCTGGAATGAGGGCATTGCCATCCCTGCCTTTTTCTGCTACCTGCCTGCCACAGCCACCACTCCACACCTGCACTCCCTGCCCCACACCCCCTGCGGCCCACCTGGTCGATCTGCATGATCGTGGCCATGATCTTGCGCACCTCCCCCGTGATCGTGCTGATGCCCACGCCTGCGCCGGTTGTGGGGAGGCACAGGTCGGGCCGAGGGCTATGGGCTTTGTAGCAGCAAGCCCGCCACTTGACGGGCGGCCCGCTTGGGACAGGACATGGCAGCGGGCCCCAGAGAGGCAAGAATAGCAAAGATAGAAATGGCTGCACGGTGCTGACCAGATGAGGCCAGCAGTGTGCAGCAGCTCGATTGCCAGCAGGCCCACCAGCACCCCCCCGCGCCCACGGGCCCCGCCAGCAAGCCCCCAGTCCAGCCCAGCCCAGCCCAGCCCGGCGCACCATCCATGTCGATGACCACCAGCGACTGCTCGTGCAAGCGCCCCGCCGCCAGGCTGCAGGAGGGGGCGATGAGTCGCCAGTACCGTTCCTGCTGCTGCAGTACACCAAGAGGGGGGCAGCAGCAGCCACCCGGCTCAGACCAGCGTGCAGGTGCCCTGCCCGCTGGGCATGCCCACATGTGCACTGCCTTGCTGCTCCGCGCCCTGCCCTCCTGGCCCCCAGTCCCAGCAGGAGCCCTGCCTGCAGGTGGTCCCGCACCTGCAGGTGGTACCGCACACAGCGCTCCATCGTTGTGAACTTCCACAGCTGCGTGGTGTCAATCTGCACATACGGGACAGATGGGCGCCAAAAGAATAAAAAGGGAACCAAAGGTTGTGGCGAACAGTCGGTGCAGCACACCACCACCACCACACCACCACCACAAGACTGTTTGCTCTGCGTACAGAACAGCTGCGTGCACCCTGGCTGGCTGCCCACCTTGCCGGGCTGCTGCACGTACACGGGGCGCCCCGTGCGGTCCACGCCATAAAAGGCTGCAGGCAGCAAATGAAAGCATGTCAAGACAGGGGGGAGGGGCAAACATGGGAACAAAGAAAATTGCAAGGCTGGGCCTGCCGTGTCACCCGGCCCACCATCCGGGCCCACCACCCCAACCAACACACCACACCTTCCGGGTACCACTTTGAAAACTCCTGTCGCTCATGGAACACAAAGTCGGTGAGCACTGCAGCATTGGGGGCAGACAGCGGAGGGCGAATGTGTGGAGAGCAGTGCCTGCATACCCAGTGCGGCATCTGTGTGTAGGGGTGGCCGGCAGGGAAACCAATTCTAGGAACAAGGAGGATTCAAACATGGGAACATGGGAATGGGTCGCAAGGCGAGGCTGCCCAGGAATGATACACGGCGGGCAGTCTGCTGCATGCTGGTGCCTCCTCAACCCCACCTGTGTCAACCTCCGCCCCCTTGCGCCACTGCAGCTGCTCCTGCACGCAGCAATAGCGGCAGCGCGCCCACCGGCAATCGTGGGATGCTGCCGGCATGCCTGGGGCTGTGTGGCATGGGGCATGACAGCCAAGCCTGGTCTTCAGCCACCACATCGCCCTCCGCCCTCCAGCGACCACCGCCGCAATGTCGGCAGCCTCCATGCACCCTCCAGCTTCCAGCTGAGCACCAACGGCCCATGCGCTGCCAGCCACCAGCTGCGCACCAGGAACATGAGCTTGGCTTTGAGGATGTTGTGCTTGCGGGCGCGCAGGAAGCGGCGCAGAACAGAATCCTCTGCGGCAGCGGCAGCCAGGGCAACATCTGGTGTGTGACGGCAAGCAGGAGCAGCGTGCGGGGGGATGCAGCTGCAGCAGCAGGCGCCGCAGTCAAGCATGCAGGATGAGTGGGGGTGGCGGTGGCATCTCACCCCATTCAACCGCGAGCTCTCCAGCCTCCAGCTCAACCTCATCCCGCAACTGCTGCACCAGCGCCGCCTCCTGCAAGACGCACACAACATGGAGGGCCAGGTGAGGCAGGCAGGTGACAGCATGGGCATCAGGGGGGCAACAAGAGGAGAGCATGGAACATGCAGCAACTGGAGCTGGTTGGTGGGATAGCACGCCAGGAGAGGAGTTCGATGCGCAGGCAGGCGGCAGCGGCGTTTCTGGCCTGCTCGAGCGTCACGCCCCACATGGCCTGGCATTCGGCATCGTCGTCGGCTGCGAGGGCTGCCATGGCGGGTGCGTGGCGTGGGCTGGTGCCGGATGCGACTCCTGTGGTGGTGTCTTTGCCTTTCTTACGGGTCAGGCGCTTGGTCAGGCTTTTCATGCAGGAATGTAAGGTACGCCCTGCTTGGTGCCTGCATTCAGCACAGGATGCTGCTGGCTACTAATTTGCTGTTTGTTCAGCATGTTTGCTGCCAATCTGGAGCGGAGCCGCTGTACCCGCTACCACCCGCCACCACCCGCCGCCGCCAACGGCTTGTGTGCACGCGCCGGCATAGCAACACGATCCAAGCGCCATATGGGGATACAGGCATCGCGCTTGTCCTTGGTACGCCTTGCCCAGCCCCCCTTGCGTTGATGCTGTGCAATGGCGGCTGTGGGGAGGCCCACCATATGGGCGATGGCAGCGCGGCCCTCACCTGTGGCTGCAGCCACCACAAGCTGCTGCTGCTGCTGCTGCACCTGTTCTCAACTTGGTGCCAAGTTGCCAGCAGGTGAGTGAATGGCAGGGCACCAGATGAGCTGATGTTGACGCAGCAAGGGAGTGCTTCTGCCCTGCCTCCAATCGCAGCCGAGGAAGGGAAGCAGAGACAAAAGGAGGGCAGGGAGGAAAGGCTTCGACAGGAATGCTTCTGAGTTGACTTTTTCTCAAGCTGTGGTGTTCCGATCCCTATTACGCCATGCCTCGCGCATGTGTATCATGCTGATGCTCCCAGCGCTGGGCAAAGGTGGCACCCGCGACGCATGTGCGGGATGCCGCGGGGCGCCTGCCGCCGCATCGCCAGCTCCTGCCAATTCAATGAAAGTTTGTGGCAGCCGGAGTTGGCGATGTCAGCGCAATCAAGTGCTGCGATGGTGATGCCAACAGTGGATGCAGGGCACATGGCCGCTGGTAAGTCGGCGAGCACCGGCGCCGTGCGCAGGTAGGTCTCTTTGCCGCGGCCTGCCAAGAGCGTCACCAGTCCTAGTGGCCGGTGCCTGTCAGTTGAAGAGTGATTATATCATTGCAGGATGGCAAGACCGATGCGGGTAAAGAGAGAAGAGTTCCTGGGCGGCGGCTCGACGGCGGGTGCTGCCCGCAGCACACAACATGGAGCTCCCAACAATGGCCGCCTCCCCTGCTGGACTTTGCCAATCGATTTTCATGCACATATTGTCTTCATCTCCTGCTGATCGGTGATTTTGAGTCGTTTGCAAAGCTTTCATAGGCGGTGTCCAGTTTGTTGGGGGTGAATGTCGGACGCACATGGGCGGGTGAGCCTGTCTCTCTGCACCATGTTGGTGCATGCGTGTCTTGATGGGAAGGGAGGGGAAGGTTGTGATGCAAGTTGAAGTCGCTCGCCGAGCCTCCCTGCAGGCCTGACAGCCGCCAACATGCTGCGGCGGATGCGTTATTACCGGAAAGAGCACAGCAGGCCCCACACGGTCTGTGCCCGGATGCCGCTCGCCGCAGCGGCGGCGCCGCCGCCGGCACCGAGCCTTGCTCCATCCTGCAGCGACACCCCGTTGTTGGAGCAGCGCTTATCGTCATCGCGCTGTCGGCCCTTTTCTACATGCACCGCCCGTGCGACGGCAAGCGGGGCGCCCAGTTTGTGCTCGCTGCTGGCGGCGACACCCGCAGCGGGACCTCGCCGCCCGCGCATGGGCCTAGCACCCTGGACCGGCGACGAGATCGTGTTTATCTGCTGGCCAACAACCCCAATGCAAACGTTACATGGGACAAGATCAAGGTCAACGAGGGGGACTTTGTCGTGATGTTCAACCTGGCGCTGCCGCTGGACCACTTTCGGCACGTGCCGCCACGCCAGCTGATGCTGTTTCTACGGCAGAAGGCGTCCTCCCAGGGCATCATCAGCGAGGACCAGCTGGCTGAGCTGTCTAAGTCCTTCCACAAGTTTGTGTTTGTCACGTGCAAGCTGGCTCACCACCTCTCCTTGCAGCGCAAGGGCCTGGCGGAGCAGCTCCTTGCCTTGACCCATTTTGAAGTGCTCGAGCGCAAATCGCATTTCATGGCCTCTGTGTGGGCAACCTACCCCAACAACATAACCCAGATGCCCAGCACGGGATACATTACACAGCAGTACTTCCAGCGCCACCTGCCCACCCACGACGTTGTTTTAGTCGGCTTCAGCGGCGAGGGCGTGCACCTCCACGACTGGGAATTTGAGACAAAGTACTTTTCTGTCAATGGTGTGCTGCGGATGTAAATGCAACACCAGCCTGACACCAAATGACAGGGATTGCCAGTGCTGGCGGTGCTCTGCTAGGCTGCCGCAAACCGCAACTTGCACACGTTTGGGAGGAATCGTTTTACAAGACCATATGGAATGAGTGGCAACAGTGCTGGTAAATCCCGTCAGGAGGACAATGCCTGACAAACAGTGCTAATCTAGCAGAATTTGATGTGTATAGTGCCTGGGATACCTAACTGGGTAGTTTCTTGTGGCATTCAGTTGAGAAAACATTGATGAAGAAAAGTGAGATGAAGCAAGTCAGCAGCAAGTCAAGGTTGAGGTGAGCTGCTTCATTAGCAGGCAAACTGCTGCGGGATGGAAACACAGCAGGGGTGTTGTGTGCTTGGGTTAACAATTGGAAAAGAATAGTGTAAAGAAGGCAAAGAGAGTTGTCAAAATGGGTACTGGTGCATAAAGGCGAGGCGAGTGCATTGAAGGAATTACTTTTGAGGTGACAAAATCAAAGCGTCTGCTTTAGGAGACGGGGCAAGCCTGACCTCCAGGTGTAGGCAAAGCGTCGGAGACGGAGATAAAAGGGGGATGCGTTGTATGCAGCAATGCGCCAGCTGCCACCTAAGCTTGCGGGACCTGTAATACGGTGCCGCTGCTCATGCACATAGCTCAGACCCCGCACAGGCTGTAGTCGGCTGGGCTTGGAGGTGGGTGCCAGCAGCGGGCTACAGGTACACATCGCAGCCGGGGTCGTCAGCTCCAGCCAGCCCATTGCAGTCGTAATCCAGGCTATACAGGCAGGAAAGCCGGGTCTCTGCACGGTAGTATCGGCACAGCGTGACCACAGCGGCATTGGGGTTGGTGCTGGGGTAGCGCCGCACAGTGACGTTGAGGATGGGGTGGGTCCACGACTTGCCGACTGCATGGGGGGCGATGCAAGGGGGCCAGGCAAGTGGAAAGGGAAGTGATGAGGCAAGTTGGGAGGCGCATGCACCTGCCAACTGCTGCAGGTGTGTGCCACGAACGCCAGAAATGCGCATGGAGGGCTGTGCTTGTGTCTTGCCACTAGGAGTCCAGCACGGCGCCTCAGCATAGCCCCCTCCACGGTTCCCCGCCGCCACAACTACCACCCCCAGCCTGCTCACCAGGCAGCATTGCTTCCCAGGTTGTGAAGGCGGAGTCGAGGGGGTCTGCCAGGGCGGAGGTGTGGATGTGCACCCTGTTTTCATAGCCGCTCAAAAGGCCCAGGTCGCCGCGGGTCCGCGTGCGGAAGCTCATCCACATGGGCTCTCCGCCGGCGGCCCAGGAGGGCACCACGCGCAGGCCGTTCCTGATCGGCAGCAGCGAGGCGGCGAAGGCCGACTGGCTGGCAAGCGACACGTTGACGGTGCGGCCGCGGGGCAGGGTGGTGGCGTTGAATTCGCGCACCGCGCTCCACCCCAGCTGCCACGCGTGCGGCATGTTGAAGCAGCGGTCCGCGCAGCAGTAGCCCTGCAGCGGAGCGAGAGGCAGAGGTGTGATGATTTACGATTGCACTGCGTCGGGGGGGGTGCAGGCTGCATAGTGGCCGGAAGCCACGGGCGGCGAGCTTTGGCACTCACCATGCCGCAGCTTTCATCGGCATACCTGCACACATGCAGGTGGCGCAGCAAAGCAGCAAATGTAAGTACAGGCGTGCTAGGGAGGGGTGGAGAGGCTGAGGAGGTTGCACAGCCCCGCCCGCCGCCTGCCGCCTGCGCTGCCCAGCCCAGCGCCTGCCAGTACGGGCTATCCACACCAGCGCTGCCTGCAGCAGGCCGCCTCGCGCCCCAGAGCCGTCAGGCGCCCTGCAGAGGAGGGGCTGCTCACTGAGTGGCACTCACTCGTCGTAGGCGCCGGCTACCACCGACCCGGCATGGTTCATGTAGAGGTGGTGCCCCAGCTCGTGGGCAATGGTCTGCAAATGTGCAGGTTGTTCAAGACGGGACAGGTGAGCCAGCAGGTCGGAAGCCAGCTGGGGTCGGCTCCATGGCAGGCAGCAACGTGCAGCAAGATGCCAGCTGCAGGCCGGTGGGACTCCACCGCACTGCTCGAAGCAGCAGTAGCCAGGTCTGCCACCGCACCTGGTCGTTGCCCCAATAGCCGCCGCCGATCCAGGCGCGGCAGGGGAAGGTGCCATCGCAGCCCAGGTAGGCGAGTCCCACAAATGTGCAAATGCCCGGGGGCACCAAGTACACCCTGTTGGTGAGGAGGGCAGCCCATGGGGGCACACAAGTTCGTCATTGACAGGCAGGCGGGCACAGCAAGGGCTCCCCGCCCAGGGAGACAGATGCGGTGTGGGTCTGCTGGCCAGGATGACGGGCTGCGCATTCCTGCCCACCCTTCAGTGCTCGCTCACTGCTGGCTCGCTGACCCGCTGTGTTGCCAGGGCGGCTGCCCTGCTTGGAGATCACCTGTAAAAGTATTGGTCCACGTCTACTCCTCTGGCTTTCAGCGCGGCATCGGCGGCATCCGCCCACCCGTTGAAATCGTCGAATTCGCACGTGGCCATGCTCCAGGGCACGCCGTAGCTGCAAAGAGAGGAATGGCAGAAGAAGGTATGGGTGGGTAGGCAGGCTTGGGCGGGCAGGTGGGTGTGGGTGTTGGAAGGGAGTGAGGCAGCAAGCTCCTTTCCCGGAATCCAGCCGAGATCCAGCTGTTCAGGCCGGCACATCCCCTCGCCCCGACCATCATCCCTGCCGCCCCGCAGCCCCCCTGCGTGCCTGCGCCCTGAGCAGCCCAGCCGCACAGTGTCCGCCACCAGGCTGTTGTCGGTGGTGAGCCTGGTCTTGCCGTAGGAGCAGTAGTTGTAGGTGGAGCCCACGGTGGAGACGCCCGGGTCGGCCTGCATCTCCTCGAACACAGCCTGCTGGATCTGAGAGCGGTTGAGGGGGGCCGGCCCCGTGCCACGGCACGGCGTGCCCGCCGACGTCACGCCCACGACTGCGCAGGTGGGCGGGCCGGGGAGGGGGGTAAGGCAGGCAGGCGTGGTTGTGGTGTACGTGCGTGCATCGCGATTGCCACGCTAGGCCAGGGTGCTCCGCCCCAGGCCAGCCCTTGGCAAGCCAGCCTTGCTCCAAAGCAGCCTGTCGCTGCTTTCCTCATTCTGTCTACCCGCCGCGGCTGCCTTCCACCCCCAAACGCCCCGGCTCGCTCACTGGGGATGACCAGGGTGGGCATGCCGCCGGTCATGAGCTGGTTGTACACCCAAGAGCCGCCGCCCTGGGTGACGTTGATAAAGCCTCCGTTGGGCGAATCGGCGGTGCCGGACGTAGACACTGTGCTGGGCACGATCGTGGATGCCTTGGCTATGAGCGCGGCGGCGGCCAACTCATCTTCGCTCAGCGGCGCGGCCACGGTCATGGCTGCGGGCAGGGAGGAGTGGGATTGACCGGGGAGCGTGCACAGTATGTGAGGTGCCGTCAGCAAAACTCTGAGCCAGGTAGGCAAATGCCAAACCAGACAGCACGCCACCCTGTATAAGAGAATCAGGCGCTCCGCCCTCTACCCCATGCGCACGTTTGGGCGTGACGGGGCTGCCGGTGACTTTGATGGTCAGGGCGGTGAAGATGCGTGCGGCGTCTGGCTCGGAGGAGGCTGGCTGTTTGTCGCCGCCGTCTGGCGGCTCGCCGGCTGGGTCTCTGTGCAGGAATCTGTCCTCCCACACCCCCTGGGCCTCCACATCCATGCCTGTTGTGACGCCCGCAAGCTGGCTGCGGTCCCTCAGCCTGACGTGCACCGGCCTTTGGTTCCTGGGGTGCACCAGCAGCAGCCTGCATGGGGGGGCGTGCAGCCACACGGTGCGCACCACAGGCGCGTAAGAAGAACGGCGCGGTGGAGCTACGCTGCCTGGCACAACACGCCCCGGTATGCCACAGACGAACGCCCACTCGTATGGGCTACAAGAAAGGAGAGGCCCCTCGGCTGCGCCAACCCCATCAGTTTGCCCCCGCTGCGCCCGCCCGCCCCACCCTCCGGCCTGCGCCCACCCTCCGGCCCGCACCCAACCTGCATGCCCCACCTTGCTGAATGGCCTGGAAAGTCCTGCTCCAGCACACGAGCCTTGCCTGCACCAAGCGGCAGCAAATCTGTGTGACTCATGCCGGTCGGGAGCCGCCTGCTGGCGTCCGGCTGATGCCAAGCCCAGGTTCCCACCCTTGAGTAGGTCTAGATTCTTCAGGGCGGCATGGAGCTGGCGGGCGGAGGCGGTGGCGGCGGCAACAAGCAGCACCACCAGCGCCAAGGCCCTGCGCGGCCCTGATCTGCAGCATGCCATTTCGCTATGCATCTTTAATGTCGAAAGCGTGAAGCGGCGAGTTACCGGAGAGTCTGGCTCCTGCCACCAAAATGCGTGCACGGAAGGAAGGGGGCGCGTCCGGAGGAGCTGAGGCTGGAGCTTCGTAGTTTTGCAGTTTTTTGCATGACCCACTTCAGGGAGAGTAGATTTCAACATGGGCAGCGCGGCGGGAAGGATCCGGCGACAGCAGGCGGCGTTTGTGCCCGCCGACGCCATCTGCGTGTGTCCCTCCTGCTTCTTGTCCCCCAGGCACATTTGGCGTGGAAGGGGGCCTAAACCCCGTATTAAGAATGTTTCAATATCATGGCTGTTGCCATAGCTGGTGCAGGGTAAGGGTCTGCACTGCTGGTGACCGGAATTTCGGCACCACTGGCAGTGCACCGTGACACTAGTGCACCGTGACACGCACGACTGGCAGTGACGGTGGCGGCATAGACTTGTTACGTGTACCTCTGCAGCAGCAGCTGCCTCGACCTTCAGCACAAACACTGGCTTTCTCGAGGGCTCATAGGCCTGTATGTCTGCCAGCGCGCTGCCCGCCGCCTGTCCCGCCGTGCGTACTGCCACCGCCAGCCGCGGAGATGCAGACTGCAGAAACAGTACTTGCGTGCAATGCGGCCACTCATAGATAGTGCTTTCCAACGTGCTGCACTGTTCGGAGTTCATCAGAAGGCCTGCACCACCAACAGCTCCAAGCAGGTTTTGAACTTTGGGGCGTGTCTAGCTGCCCAGCCCCTTCATCGGCTTGTCAAGCGGCGAGATCGCGTGGTCTGTGCTCGCCTGATCACACGGCATGGGCGCCACCAAGGTGTCCCCCGCCAAGCGAAAGCACGGGGAGGTGGGGGCAGCGGGCAGGCAGGCGCGGCTGAGCGATTTTGGAGTGCGCGTGACCAAACAGGTGAGGGTCCCGGGCAGCATGGCAGCTCGGGGAGCGGCCCGCATGCTGGGCTGGGCAGGGCTTCAGCGAGCGCAAGCTGTTTGTTGCGTGTGCAGGATGGCCCCGCGGGCAGCCAAAAGGCGCCGAACAGGGAGCTGGCCAACCTGGGGCTGGGCGGCGGCGGAAAGGCGGCAGCGCCGCCAGCTACCGACAGGCGCACGCCCCGCTGCGGCCTGGCCAGCCAGCAGCGGCAGACGCGCGCAGCTGCCAGCGCAGCCCTGGCCCCCACACCACCTCCCACTGCGGCAGCAGTGGTGCCTAGAAAGGCAGCGGCCGCAGCCAAGCCGCGGCGCGCCTCGGGCGGCAAGCAGCAGCCTCGCAGGGCCGCGGCAGGAACGGCGGCAGGCGGCCAGCGGAGCCACCTATCCCAGGTCACCATTGATGGGGAGACCTTTCGTGTGGGGGACAACGTCTATGTTGTGCTAGACACAGAGAAAGTGGCGCAGGCGGGCATCAGGTATGTGTGCACTGAGCGTCGCGGGCATGCACACAGAGTGTGAGAGAAATTGGGGCGACCGTGCTCCAATCCCAGCCAGAGCCCGTATCGAAAGGCTGGCTGACAGCGCTGCAGCCTGGCTTGCCTGCCTGAGAACATGCCTAGCATTTGCTCGGGCCGGCTGGGTTGGGCTGCTGGCTGGGCGCATTCCCCTCATGTGCGCACTTGACAGAACTGCCGCCACCGATCCGCCGGCCTGTCGCAGCAATGGCGACGTTGAGGAGGAGGACTGCGTGTGCCTGGTGTGCGGAGATTCGGAGAAGGAGGCTCGCGTGATGCTGGAGTGCGACCGGTGCCTGGCCGGCTGCCACCTGGGCTGCCTGTCACCGCCGCTGCAGGAGGTGCCAGAGGTGCGGCCGAGCAGCTCCTAGGCAGGCTAGGGTGGTGCCAGTGTGCTGACCGCTGCTGCTTGGGTGGTGTTGGCGCTGCCGCTGCTGCGCTGATGGTCCTGCTGTCGGCCTGGCAGTGTTTGCAAGCCGTTGAGTGGCGGGAGGTGGCGGCGTGCTGTGTGTTGCAGCATGGCACCACCGCTGGTTTTTCGGGGGGCCACCCACACATGCAGCAGCTAGCTGCGCGACCTGCCAGCCGGCCATGGTGCTGCCAGGCTGGGCGGGGGCGCGAAGAGTAGGGGGCACAATATGATGGTTCACTGGTCGTGGCTGCAAGCAGCCTGGGAATGGCTGGCCGCCAGCGTGTGCCGTCGTATGTGCTGCTGTGCACGCACGCCCCTGTCAACCTCCTCCTGCCGCCGCTGCCGCCGCAGGGGGAGTGGGTGTGCCCGGCGTGTGCTGCGGGGCGCGCGCCCCGTGCCCGGTCGCCCACCACCGCCCGCGACTGCCTGCTCCAGCGCCACGGCCTGGCCCTGGCTCGCATCGAGGCCATCTGGCAGGCAAGCGGGGCAGGCATGCACTTGCGGCGCGGCGGCTGCTTTGCTGTGCCGCTTGGGCTGCATCCTGCTGCCGCCTCGCTGCTGCGCCCTGTGCTGCTTTGCCGTGCACCACGCGGGCGCGCGTGCAGGTGGCAACCTGAGCTGTGCTGAGCGTGCCGTCTGGCTGCCTGCCTCTGCAGGACGCCGATGGGGAGCTGGAGTGCATGTACCGCTGGTACTGCGTACCGGAGGAAACCCACACGGGGCGCCAGGTGCGCGCCTGTGGCTGCAGCTCATGCCCTGCGTGCGAGCCGCCCACCGTGCGCAGCACTTACTGCTCAACTCCCATGCGTGCCCCCACACCCCTGACTCAACACGCGCCTGCTCCTCATGAGCCCTCGTGCCCCTCACCCTGCCTCCCCATCCTGCCCCACTCTCCTCTCCGCAGCGCCACCACCTGGCTCGCGAGCTGTTCCTCACGCAGCAGCGGGACGGCGACAGCATGGACGCCATTCTGCGCGGGGCGCACGTGCTGGGCCTGCGCGAGTTTGGGGCAGGCGCCGCCTGCTCGGCGCTGGGGGAGGATGTGTTTGTGTGCGAGTATCAGTACGATTCGGCCTGGCAGGTGCGGGGAAGCTGGCGGTACCACAGGCAAAGCTGCCGCCCCCGAGTTGCACCCACCCCTCCGCCGCACACACTGGCTGCCAGGCAGCATGGCTGCGCCACGCCGAGCCGGCCGCTGGCCCAGCCTGCCGCGCCCCCGCCGCCGCTTGCCGCCCCTGCCGCAGCGCTTCCGCCGCCGCACCGAGTTCGACAGCGACAGCGAGGACGAGGATGGGGGCGAGGAGTGGGCCCCCGGCGCGGGCGGCCAGGCGTCAGATAGCGAGGATGAGGAGGTGTGGGGGCCTCGGCTCCCAGGGGGGCTGGAGCTGTGCTAGTGCTTGTCCTGCTGCCTCTATCGATCTTGCTACCGTTTGGAACAGCCTGCTTGCTCCCGCATGTGCTTGGCTCTGCCTGCCTGGCTGAAGGCCTGCCATGCCGGCTCCCACCCCACGCAGGAGCTGGTGCCAGAGCAGGACCTGGCGCCCGCAGGCGGGGCCCGCCGCAAGGCCGGCAACGGCGGTATCAACCGGCAGCACAAGCAGGGCGGGGAGGAGTACCTTGCTCAAGTGGGGGCACTGGCTGTGCCGGAGCATGCACGCCAGCGCCAGCGTGGCGCCAGCGGCGCCCTCGGCCAGGTGGGTATCGCACCCCTCCTCTCTCTCATCCTCTTTTGTTGCCGTGTGCTCACCTGCCCTTTGCTCCTGATCCCAGCGCTGCCTCTGCCCACAGCCGTGCTGCTATGGCTCAGTTTGGCGCTGACCACCCCGCTGCAAGCTCCCCATGTGGCTGCCTGGCTGCCGCCGTTGTGCAGGCACGGGACGTGCTGGCGCTGACGGCGGTGCCGCGCTCGCTGCCCTGCCGTGACGTGGAGCGGGGCCAGGTTGCCGAGTTTGTTCAGGAGGTGTTGGCAGAAGGTGGGGCCAGGGTGCCTGGGGGGCGCGAATTGGAGAGCTGTTCAGTCTGCCGCCACCCAGCTGCCGTGGAACACAGACCTGTGCCAGAGCTGCCTGGCGCCTGCGAGCGGTGCTGTGCTGCGCCTTCTCTGCTGCTGCTGATGTGCTGCTGCTGCTGCTGCTGCTCGGACCTGCTGCTCCTGAGCTGCTCCTGCTGCTGCGCATCCCTTGCCCGCGCTCAGGCGGCGGCAAGTGCCTCTACATCAGCGGCATCCCGGGCACAGGCAAGACTGCCACCGTGCTGGAGGTGATGCGCGGCCTGAAGCGCAAGAGGTGGGCTGCTGCCCCAGCGCCCATGCCTGGCTGGCTGGCCGCCGCCCGCAGACAGAATCCAGCCCATCCCAGCCAGTGTACTGCCCAGTCCAGCGGGGCCGGCCAGCCCACTCTGGTGTGCGCTGCTCTGCTCCCGGAACTTCCCTCCTCCCCACCGGTCAACACACACGCCTGGTAGCCCGGCTTGCTTGCCAAACCTTGCTGCCTGCTGCCTGCCCCCGCCTCCTGTCCTGCTCTGTGCAGCGAAGTGGGCGAGCTGCCCCACTTCCAGTTTGTGGAGATCAACGGCCTGCGCCTGCCCTCGCCCCAGCACGCCTACTCCGCGCTCTACGAGGTGGGCTGGGCGCCAGCAGGCGCCGCGCCCGGCAGCTGTCACCCAGCGGTCGCAGGCCAGCCTCCTGGTTGCTGGCGCAGCTGCCTGCTCTGCGCTGCTCTCCGTCCCGCCAACAAAAGCCAGACTCTGCCACGACCTGTCCCCCTCGCCTCCCTCCTTGCCCCACTGCACACACGCATACACACACGTACCCCCACCACACACACACACACACACATTCCCCCGTCCCCACCCCACCCCACCAGCACACACACTCCCCCACCCCGCCCTGCAGGCCCTCACCGGGGACCGCGCGGGTCCGCAGGCGGCGTCCGCCGCGCTGGAGGGCATGTTTGGCGGCGGCGGCGGCGGCGGCCGGGGCGAGGGGCGGCGCCCCACCATTGTGCTGGTGGACGAGATGGACCTGCTGGTGAACAAGTCGCAGGTGGGCCCGGGGGGGCAGGCGGAGCCCGCGAGTGCCACCACACACAGGCGCCTTGCGCCACCTCTGGCAAACAGCTCGCCCAGTGTGTGAAGCCTGCGTGTGGGCGGGGATCCCCTGTGCATGTGTGGGCGTGTGTGTGCCCTTGGGGTGCCGGCTCCACACTTGCATGCATTGCCCACAATTCGTGTGACCACCCGCCCAGCGTTTCAAACACACGTCATGCCAGGCCGGCAGGCCTACCCTCAGTGCGAGCGCTGTGTGGCTGACGCATATTGCGGGCTGCCCGGGCTGCCCCGGCCCTCCCTGCCGCCGCCACCGCCTGCCCCTGCAGACTGTGCTGTACAACTTGTTTGACTGGCCGGGGCGCAAGGGCTCCCGCCTGTCCATCATCGGCATTGCAAACACAATGGACCTGCCTGAGCGCCTGCACGCCCGCATTGGCAGGTAGGCCTAATCACATCGGGTGTGGCGTGGCGTAGGCAGCGGCACAAACCCGCTGGTCCGCCCACGGGCACAGGGTGCAGTCCCTCTTTCTTTCTGGCTTCTCGCTGGCCTAGCTGCGCCTGAGCAGGCTGGGTGGGCAGGCTGGGTGGCACGGTGTTGGGCAGCAGGCTGTGCTCCTGCAGCACGGCACCGGCAGCAGGCCGAGTGAGGCTCCCGCCCAGCACCATCCCTCTTCTTGTAGTGGTCCTGTGTTGCGCCTCCCCAACTCCCATTGTTTGTGCCATGTGTGTGCCCCGTGCCTGTGCAGCCGGCTGGCGGGGCGGCGGGTGGTGTTCCAGCCCTACAGCAAGGACCAGCTGCAAGAGATCATCAAGGCCCGGCTGGGTGCGCCCCGGCAGCTGCCAGCTGGGGCAGCTGCCAGCTGGGATAGCTGCAGGGCGATGCATGGGCGAGGCGTTGGCTGTGCAATGCCCAGCGGCGGCTCCCTGGCCTGCTGGGAGGCAGGGCCGGCGGAGCTGTTGCAGCAGCGTGCCTGCCATTGTGTGCACCCCCCCCGACCCTGCTGCAAGCCATGCTTGCACGGCTGCGCAGCCGCCAGCAGTGGTCCCGCCGCTCGCGGGGGTGCTGCGGGTGCTGTGCACTGCTTGCAAGCCTTCAGCATGCCCAACCTGTTGCGGACGCCATCGCTGTGTCTTGCAGAGGGTCTGTCCGCCTTCCAGCCCAATGCCCTTGAGTTCATCTCTCGCAAGGTGGCCAACTGCTCTGGCGATGTGCGGCGCTGCCTGGAGCTGTGTCGCAGGTGGGCGGGAACCCGGCGGCGATGGCATTGGCGTGTGCAGTGCCGCATGCAGCAGCGAGGGTTGGCGGCAGGGCTGCCGTGCCCGCCTGAGCCAAGGGAGTCAGCTGAGTACCAGGGCAGGGTGGGAAGCGCGCTCCCAACAGGCAGGCTGGCCAAGGGACTATGCAGTGGTGCATACAAGGGAACCAGCTCACACGTGCGTGCACCCGCCGCTGGCCGCCTGGCTCGTGCAGAGCCGCCGAGATAGCAGAGGACAAGCTTCGCAAGCAGCAGCAGCAGCAGGTTCAGGGCAGTGAAAGCGCAGCGGGGGAGCAGGCGCAGCAGGAGAGCGGGATGGTGGAGGTGAGTGTTGCTGCTGCATCCGGCGCATGCACACAGCTACGCATTCCTCATTTTTTCACAGCTTCACGTAGCTGCTCCTGTGTGTGTTCCCACACAATCAGCGGCTGCCGCATTGCCCTGCCTTGCCACCACAGACGCGTGGTCTGCCCTCGCCCCGCTGCACCACGCACGCAGATGCGGCATGTGGGCGCCGCCATTGCCGAGATGTTCAGCACGGGGCACGTGCGGCTGCTGCGGGAGGCGTGCCGCCTGGAGCGCCTGCTGCTGGGTGCCCTCTACCTGGAGCTCAGCAGCAGGTGGGTGGGGGAGGTTTTTGTGGTGTTGGGTGGGTCCACTATCTCCACATGCGGCTGGCTGGTTGCTGCACAGGCCACCCACTTGCTCTCCTATGGCACCAGCGCAGCTGGCTGCCAGCTTGATGGATTCGCCTGCCTTGCTTTGCACCCCTGATCACCTCCGGCCCACTTGTTGGTTTGCGCCGTGCAGCGGCCGTGCCGAGTGCCTGCTGCTGGATGTGTGGGAGCGGCTGCGAGTGCTGTGCTCCCAGAACTGCGAGGCGCAGCGGTACGACTTTGGCAGCGTGCTGGAGCGGGCGGCGGAGCTAGGCGCTAAGCGCCTCATCATCTGTGATCCAGGTGGGTGGCGGGGGGGGCAGCATACGCGGCTGGCCCCCTCGCACGAGCTGGCATGTGCGGTGCTTGTGCTGACGCCCGCCACCACGCGCACACATCTACCACACTTACAGATGTGGCACCACCTGTCTGCAGGCGTGCGGCGGGTGCGTGCCAAGGTGGCCCTCAATGTCGCGCCCAACGATCTGCTCATGGTGCTGTCAAGCGATGCGGAGCTGCCGTGGCTGGAGGCGGCTATCAGCCGCGCGGCGGCGACGGCGCCTGTGATGGCGGCAGAGTGAAGAGGGGCGTGGCGATGCATGCAGGAGCAAGGCGGGCAGGGCAGGATGCATCGATGGTCAGAAGTGGTCAGCCATAGATCGGAGCTCAGCCTATTGGCGAGCTAACCACTAGTGAAGTTGCATTGTAGGTAGCAAGCAGGCATCAGAATGATGGTGAACCACATCCAGGAACAGTCACGTTGTAATTGCTGCAAGAAGCAGTGCCGCCCCGAGCCCCGCCGCCCCCCATGGAGGCACCTGACTGATCGACTGACTGACCACTCCCACAGCTGCAGTCCGTGCAGCACCTTGTAGCACCCGCGCCACAGCGCTGTACTGGACTCTACTGTCACATCTGGGCGGTGTCGATCGCCTTTGCTGCTGTTCTCTGCGCCATCCAGCGGCACCTGTGCCGGGTTGCAAGCAATCCCAGCGAGGTCCCGAGCAAGGGGATGCGGCGCCCACCCACTCCGGGCGGCCAGCCGTTAAGCTCCGCTACCGCGCCAGAACAGCGTGGTGAGCGTGGCCAGCTGGGAGAGATGCCGACTTCTCATAGGGTTGCGGGTGCAGGTCGGGTAGCTGTTGCTCTCTGGGCGGGAAGAATGTCTGCAGTGTTCAATCATTCAATGGTCGGGGGCGAGCTGTATTCGCCGGCGGGGCGCGGGAGGGTCTTGATAAGGGCCGCCGCTGCTGCCGGTGCCGCCGCTGCCAGCGCCCTGGACGCCCTGGCCTCGCCCAGACTCCACTTGCTGCCTGCCTCACAGCTCCTCGCCTGCTGCTTGCCGGGATTCGGAAGGACGAGTCTCGAATGCCACTCGTGAAGGCACCCGTCAATATGAAGGGACACTGCGCCCTGGCGTTGCTTGCCTCGCTCCTTGTCTCCATGCCTGAACCGGCCGCCAGGTACGCCTGCCGCCTCTGCTTCCTGGCGCGCAACAGCAGCATGCATGTCGGCAGTAGTGCATGCTCCCCGCCAACGCAGGCACCCACTCACCCCATGCGCACTCCCGTGAACCCGCTCACACCCTTTCTCCCATCCACCCGCGCACCGCTCCCCGCCCGCCCACTTGCCTGCAGCCAATGTTCCTTTGACGAGTGCTTCCTGGAGAGCGCTGTAACATTATAAGCTACTACCGACAGCCCTGAAGCCTGCTGCGCCTACTGTACTGCTGAAAACCAGCCCGCGTGGACGTTCACGGCTGTGGACGGTGGTTGCTATTGCGTCGTGGCTGGGGGGTGAGCTGCGGCGGGGGGGTGAGTGCTTGGCGTGCTAGTGGGCAAGGGGACAGCGGCATTGGTGGGTGGGGCCCTGGTGAGCAGACGACAAGGACCACTGTTGAGTTTCCGGGCGTCGTGCACGGCACGCATGCACGCCCAGAATGCTTGCCCCACGCCCCCACCCTCGCACTATAGGTGTCACTTCGCTGGCACTCACACAGAACTATTGTGCGCATGCTGTGTTTCTTCTTGTCTTCCATGCAGCGTACCTTCCTACAATCACCCGCAGTATGTGCCCTCCTGCGGAGAGAGTGAGTGAGGGTGTGTGAGTGTGTGGTCCATGCGCCATGCGCAAGGGTCCTGGTGCATCGCGTGGTTGTCATCCCTATGCCAGAAGATCACCCCCGGGGTGGGGGCCCACCACCCCTTACCAGCACCACCACATCAACAAGCTGTCCATCTTGCCCTCCCTGCGTGCAGGCGGATGCTGTCAAACTGGAAGCCCGTAAGTTTTTGCCTTGTGCCGCCAATTGCAACCATCACCCTTGCAGCCGTGTTTCAGTACAACAACGCACGCTCCTCCTTTTCGTTGTCGATCCTGTCTTGTATGGGATGCTCGTGCATGCGGCGACCAAAGGTTGTTGGGGGAGGCGTATTGCTGCGGCGGGAGCTCAGCCGGGGCAGTATGGGCCTCCACAACGGCCGCATGAATGTTGTCGCCGCTGTCGCTCTCCCAGCCCTGTTCATTGCCTCTCCCCTCCCACCTGCTTCCCGCCTGTCTGCCTGCAGGCAATGCACGTTTGACGAGTGCATACTTTGGGAGAGCAACATAACTTTTGCAATCAGTAGGGACACCCCCGAAGCTTGCTGCGCCTCCTGCACCGACGCTGGACAGCCCGAGTGGACGTTCATTGGCTTAAACCGCGCTTGCTATTGCGTCCAAGCCGGGGGGTAAGCTGTGGTACGCCTGGGTGTGTGTGGTGGTGCTGAGCGGGGTCGGGCGGTACCCCGTGAAGCAGAGAGTATGTGTGGATTGTTCCAGCACCCCCATCTGCGCCATCGGCGCCTTGCCTTGCATTGACGCACAACATGGCAACGTGCCTGTCCCACCCACCAAACCTTGCCCCGGGGCCAATGGTGCCAGACCAACACAGGCACACACACAACCACCGCGTGCGTGCTGCCTTCCTTCGTACCTCCCTGCAGCGTACCTTCTTACGATTACCCGGGGTATCGGCCCCTTTGTGGAAGACGTGAGTGAGGGTGTGCGAGTGTGTGCATGCTCTTCCCCGCCACGCGCAAGGCTATGGTGCATTACGAGGCTGCCTTCCCTACCCGCAGCCACCCCATGCCAACAGGCCAAGGTCAATGCCCCCACGTTGTGCACCAATCGTTAGCGGCACCACCACCCTTGCCTGTTTTGCTTGTAGGCGGATGTTGTCAGGAGGCTGCCCCCGTGCCAAGCCCGTAAGTGTTGGCTTTCAACCCTTGCCGCCAACTGCAACCAGCAAGCTGCAACCGGCCTTCAATGCGAGGCCTTGGGAGAGCACCCACGGCCGTGCAAGTTGCGGGTTCCTATTCCGCTATCATTGGGGGCACATGTGCTGTTTGTTACTTTCTTCCCCAAATAAATGTCACTGCAGACCCCAGCCACGGCCGCCGCCACGGCCGCCGTCTCCAGCCCCCCAGCCCCTACCGCCGCCCTCGTGAGCGCACCCACCACATTTGCATGACAGATGCATGACCGCTCCTTGAGCTACTCTGCTATCATGCAATCACACTACTTGTTACTCAGTCAACTTTGTCACTACATGCAGACCCACCCCTGAACCACCGCCACTCTCCAAGCCGCCGCCACGACCCCACCCTCCATCCCCCAAGCCCTCGCCACTCCCCAAGCCGCCGCCACGTCCCCGCCCTCCATCCCCCAAGCCCCCGCCCCGCCCCAAGCCGCCGCCACGTCTCCGCCCTCCATCCCCCAAGCCCCCGCCCCGCCCCAAGCCGTCTCCACGTCCCCGCCCTCCATCCCCCAAGCCCCCGCCGCACCCCCGCCCTCCATCCCTCAAGCCCCCACCACGTCCCAGGCCGCCGCCACGCCCCAGGCCGCCGCCCAAGTAACTCTCGCTTGGGGCCGTCCATGGATTTAGTAGTATTTGTGTATGTCGTGTCTGTCTGTCTGTCTGTCACACCAATAAGGAGCAACTGAATGCTACGGGCCCATGGGCCAGCTGGCCAGCTGTGGTGCTGGAAAAGGTGACTATTCATGCATGCCGGCATGAATGGACGTTGCTTTTATCGAGCTCTCCCTCTATTCGCAATGTGTCCTGCAAAACTGCCTCAGCTTGGCTGCCATGGTGCCGATGGCAATGCCGCGCAAGCTGCTGCAGCTTGTAGCACCAGTGGGGCCGCCGGGCTTGAGGATGGTTGTGATGATGCTGAGCGCGTCAGGGGTGGCCATGGCCAGCTTCCCGCCCCGCCACTATGTTGTGTAGACGGCGGCCAGCGCAGGGCCAGCTGCCGCCTGCAAGTGCTTTGCACGCTTGGCCTGGCTGGTGAAGGCTGCAACTTCTTTTGATATGATGGGGCTGTTGCTGGGTCGCCGGCGGTTGCCAGGCTGGCAGGCAGGGCTGGGGAGGGTCGTATGGCGGCGCCAACGGGTGGGGCTGGAAAGGGTTGTGTGGTGGCGCTCCTGCTATGTGCAGCACTTGCTCCCCCCTCCCATCATCCCCCGGCGGCGCTGCCACGTTGGCAGCCTGCAGGCCTTCCCATCCTCGTGGTGCCGAAGGTGGCCACTGTTGCCGTCTCCGCCGCTGCCGCCAGGGCTGCCACGCGCTCCTAGACAGGCTCCTGCCGGGGCTCTCATAGGTAGCACCGACTGGACACCACTCCAATCTTAAAGATGAGAGAACACCCCACGGCCTGGCTACTGGTAGCCAGGATGGCTATGGCCGCCCACCATATGTCACGGAGGTGCGTGAGCGGCGCTGCCGCAGCGGCCTGACCGAGCTGCGCACAGGCATGCACTGGGGGGCGGAGGAGCAGGGGCGCCGCACTGGCATGCCCTGCGAGCAGCCAGCTTGCTGCTGCTGCTGGGCCATCTGTTGCGCAAGGCAGGCAGGCTGTCACACAACTCCAACCGCTGCTCCATCTGCAGGCTCCACTGCCAACGCCATCGTCTCCTGGACCAGTGGCCAGTACCCTAGCAGCTTCCGCTTGAGCCGGTGGCACTGGCCAACCTCACGTGCACCAGCACGAACGGCCAGAACCGGCTGGTCAACGCCCCCGTCACCAAGGCCTTCGCCGTGTGCCCCATGAAATGCTTCTCCGTCGGCGGCGACATCTACGGCTCGAAAGCTGCATACCGGTCTAACGCCCGCATCTGCCTCGCAGCGGTGAGCTAGGGCAAGCAGCACTCTCATCACACCAGCACCAGCTGCGTACCCGACTCACACTTTGGGTACTGCTGCCTGCCTCCTCTGCAGGAACACACGAGAATGATTGGATTGGCTGCCCACCGCGGTGGTTTGGTCATCCTGCAGTACGTCAACGGACTGGCTTCTTACAAGAATGTCACCGCCTTCGGTATCACCTCCAAAACAGCCGCCGCATCCCCCAACGCCTTCAAGTTCATCCGAGGCGCATCCCCCAGAATTGCACCGCGGGTACCATGGCCACCCACCCAGCAACACCACCGGCCGCGGCGAGGTCGGTAGTCAGTGTAGCAGACCCAGAGACCAACAATGCCCCGCAGTGCAATTTTCCATTGTTGTCTGCCTCCATCCCCTTCTGACTCAGATCGGACCTGCCAGACAGCGGCTTCATATGCAGCCTGCAGCAGGCAGCAGCAGCAGGCGGTGCTGCTGTGCCCGCTGCGGGACAGCGACTGAGTCCTACACTCTCACTACTTCATTCTACTCACAACAGCATGATTGATTGTGCTTATCATGCCTTGATCGATTGATTAGTCACCAGCCCTGCCTGGCTGGCAGCACTACAGGTCCGAAGGTATTGCTCCACTATTTATCGGGTCATTCCGGGGCCTTTCTCTCTTCGTTGTAACTCACTTGACTGGCCGCAGCCGCAGCCGCCCGGGCTCTGGCTGCTACCAGACTTCTACTAGACTCACTGCCTGCAGATGGGTATGGGTGTCTAGACAGATCTGCCCCTTAGAAACAAGTGTCTGTGGGGCGGTTGCTGGGCATGCGCATGGCTGCCCGCGCCATGTTTCGAAACGCCACTATTCGCTTCCTGAGGGCTCCCGCCTGCCTGGAACGTTTATAATGCATCTCTGAAGACTTCTGGAGGCAGCGGCGGATCGCCAGTCGCGCTCAGCAAGGTGCTCTGTCGCCCAGCCCGAAAATCAGGCGTTTTTGCTTGATTGGCTGTGTCTTAACGTCGTGCATGAGTCATCTAAGGCTAGGCAATGGGCGGGGAGTGCAGCCGACGGTCGCCAGGGCTGGCTGCAGGCATGCCGCCACTGGCGGCACCGGTGCCGCCGCCGCTGCCGCCGCCAGATGCCGGCGGTGCTGCTCTGAGCGCCAGGGCCCTGACTGAACTGCAAATCGTTTTCGGCCAGCCTCAGGTATGTCCCAAGAAGGACTGGGGCAGGTCAAACAGCAGAGTTTGACCACTTTCCGGCTGTTCCCGCCAGCCAACGTGCGCCACCTGCCGGCGGCTCTGACCCCTGGTCCCAGGCCTAGTGTCAGGGTGATCTGAACCTCCCAGCAGCTCCTGAAGGTCTATGGAACATGGCAAAAAAAGAGGGACACTCGATCGAAATTGACATGGTTCAAAATCAAAGCCCCACCCCTCTGTCTGTGATGCTATCTTTGATAATGTGACACCGGGACGACGGGCTACATGTTTAAAAGCTGGCGAGCGATATTCAGCGAATAGGCGACTGCTGGCACTACCCCCCCCTGTCCTGCATGCCTCCTGAGATCAACGGTAAACATATACGTCTTCGTTTCTTTCTTTTTCAAACGGCACGCTCTTTAGCGACGCCGAACGCTTGTCCTGTGCTCTGAGTCCACTATTCAACTGCTGCGCACTGCAAGGCTCCTTTTCACACTTACCAGCGACTGGTGTGAATGGTAGAAGCGCTTTCCGGCGGCTGGTGGAGCCCCTGGCGGCTGGCGGTCTGCCTGGTGGTGCTCGCCGCCGCCGCGCTGGTGTTGCAGCCGCCTAGCAGAAGTGAGACCTGGATTTCAGTTCCCTGCTTCTGCTTTCTGGAACCGCGTTGTGTGGGGATGCCTGCCCTGTCTACGTCATGCCCTGATAGCGTAACATTGATGTCTGTCAGCGTTTCGGTCGCTGCCCCTGTGCTGTCGCAGTGCGTCTTTTGAGCGCGTGGCAACATTCAGCCGGCAATACTCAAGTGCCGGTAAATTGCTGCTGCCTAGAATCATCTGTATTTAATCCTTGGACTGCCAACAAAACCATGCCTGCCTGCCCGTAGCGGAGCCGCCCACGCCTGCCGTGGGTGCCCATCCTCAGCGAGACTCAGCTTCGGCGAGGGCTTAGCTACTATGGGTCGGGTCAGCAACTGGAGAAGGTGGCAGCAAAGTTGCTAGCTCGGGAGCCGATAGTGGCCGTAACCATAGGCTCAAGCGTGACGGCAGGCCACACAACCTACGTTGACAGGTGACTTCCCCATTTCCACAAGGCCCTCAATCCTATCAATGGTGTTGCCCGTCTGTTGCCTGGCCGTGAACATTGGCTGATTTCCATCATCAAAATCCATGCTGCCACGCAGGTTCTTTGAGTGGATTAACACGAATTTTCCTCACAAGTGTGTCTTGCAGATGCGCAGTCGCATTCTAGGCTCTCGAAATACTGCTGATGCTTGGCCCACTGGGATTCCTTCCCTGCAGGCAGCATAAACTGGTGAATTCAGGCATTCCTTCTACAGGCACAGACGTGTTTGCAGCATGCATTGACAGGCTGGTGCCCGCTGTGAGTTTGCTTCGGGCAAACGATGTTGCCAGGCCTTGACAGCTGGCGGGTGGTGCATGCCTGCATGGCACAGGCGACTTTCGTGCCATACGAGCCCAGGCGGGTGCACCGAACTTGCTGCAGGATGCTGATCTCGTGGTTGTTGAGTTTTCGGGGGTCGCATACTGGTATACACATGTGGGAGCAAACTCCAGTTTTGCTACGCAATATGAGCAGCTGCTGCGCAAGCTGCTGCGCCGGCCCCAGTCGCCGGCTCTGCTTCTGCTCCACCATTATGCTTGGTACTACGCGAAGACGGATGGGCTGTCGGCTGGTGCATACTACCACACAACCGAGCTGCAGTTTTCCACACTGGGGCAGGTGGGTTGCCAGCTTGCCCGGTATCCCTTGCCGTGCCATGCAACATACAACACTTGTCTGTCACATGCACTCCCTGTGTCTGCTCCCGCCTATTTGCTTTGAAAAACACGCTGCCCATCGGCACCCTCTTTGCAGTATTATGACATCCCGCAAGTATCTGTGCGGACAGCCGTCTGGCACGAAATGCGGCAAGATATTGCCCCTTTCAAGGTGGAATGGCCAACCGGCGGCAGCCAGCCTCAGCTCACCGCCTGAGGCCGGCTGCCAGTTTTTATCACGATGCTGTTGCCGATCTGCATTGCAATGCATTGCAATGCATGGCCTGCAGGTTAGCGCTATTGGTGTTGCACCCTTCCTGCGCGAGAAGGAAGGAGTGAGAAAAATCCCCGCGGGTATCGTAATGCCAGCTGCTCCTGAAGGCAACGAGTCCCAGTATTTCTGTGAGTATGGATTAGTTTCATTTCCCATGATGCCTGTTCTTAGGCAAATTCGAACTGCTTGAATTCCTCTGCACTCATCCCTTTTCGGTTCGCACTCCCCCTGCTATAGACCAAGACAAGGTGCACCCTGCCACAAGTAAGTCGAGTACAGATCTGCCACTTGCATGTGTTGTTGTTTCTCATGAATGACCACGCCAGCCCACACATACACATGCGCACACTCATGCCCCCTGCCCTCTCCCCACTCCACCCACTCCACAACACAACACAACACAAACAGTGCCTGGCGCATTTGTGCTGGCCGAACTACTGGCAAGCCTGATGAGCACAGCAATGGACAAGGTGGCTGTTTCAAAAAGCACAGCATCAGTTGGACGAGCAGGAGTGGCGGCAAGCAGTAGCATGCCAACGTTGCCACCGCCTATGATACCTTCCGTGGTTGATCAGTCATCCAGCACATGTCTGGTCCAGGTGCGACTGAAGACCAACAGATTGAAACCATCATGCAGTGTGATGCACAGGCTCACAAGTTGGACAGCATGGGCAAGGCTTTGAGCAGGCCATGCCGCGCCCGTGTCATGTGTGTGTTTGCAGGAAAGCTTCAGGCCCGTAGTTGTCAACACCAGCGGGTTCATTTACACCGCACAACGCCCCGATAGAGAAACTTTCACGCAGCAGAAGTGGGGTTGGATGGGGACAGAAGTAGGTATGGTACCAACCGGCACAGCGCTTGAAAACCCGGTTCATGTTGCTCTGGGCAGCATGCTCTTAAGTGTGCAACAATGTTTGCCTGCAGGGGCATGGGCAGAGCTGCAATTGAGCACAGTCATGAGCTCTGATACAGACTCGGCAGACGAGAAGGCTCAGAAGCGCCGGGCCTGGGCGCACCTGGGTCACGTGCGCAGCTACGAGGGTGGGTGGTAGTCAGCTCGTTCAGTGTGTGTTCAGCCGAAGTTGCATAGTGGACATGCAGGCTGATGGCTCATACAGGTAAAATTAACATCAGTTGAAATTGGAGTGCGTTGTCATGCATACTCTGCAGGCATGGGGGTGGCAAGAGTCACTTGCGTGTCGGGCTGCAAATGTCCACTGACATTCATGGACTGCCTGTGGTCTTCTCAAGTTTCGCTGACGCAGATGCTTCCCATCTTTGTGAGCACCCACTTGCATGCTTCGTGCCAACGTTCGCACAGCAATAGGAGCAAGTGGTGTTGTTGCAATCGTGCATTGCAGGTGACCCAACACCCCGAGTGCCGCATCAAGGTTGCCATCATCGCACGCAACAGCCCCCACCTGCCAGACACAGTGATCAAAAACACAACATCCAGCGGGAACAAGGTGCAGCTGAATGGCTTGATCGTATCGCTGATCCCTGTGATTGTGCGAGCAAAGCCTATCATATCCACCGTTTTCAGCTGATGGTTTCTGTGTGCCAATAAGCCTCTTGTGTGCCTTCCTGACAAGGTTTCCAATTTCATCCTGACACACATCGCGACAGCCCAGTTCTCCCTGCTCTGCCATCCATCAATGTAATGTCACAGGGAAGGTGCAGTCATTGCCAGAGCCCTCCGCATTGGTTCAAGCACTGCTGCCGGATGGGCGGGCGGCACAACTGTGACCTCTTGTCCCCCTCCTGTCCTCAGCAGAGCGGTCCTTGTTACAGGCCTGTCAAGCCAACTCAATCCATAAGCTGCCGAAACGCCAGCGCACAGCTCAGGAAAACCAGCCCCGCTTCTTGGGTTTCTCCCCTCCGCCGCCATTGCCACCGTCGCTGCCGCCGCCGCCGCCGCCGCTGCTGCTGTTCTTCCCGCCGCTGCGGAACTCCTCTAGTAGCCGTCGCTGCTGGGCAGTTAGGCTGCGTGGCACGGTGAGCGCCACTCGTACGTATTGGTCGCCGCGCCGCCCCCGCTGCCCCACCACATCCATGTGCACGCCATACCCCCGCATCCGCAGCTTGTCGCCGGGCTGCGTGCCGGGCTTCACTTTGACTTCCGCCGTCCCATCTATGGTGGGCACGCTGCGGGGCACAGCAGCAGGCGGAGGGGAGCATGGCGTGTGGCGTGCGCTTATCTGCGCGCCTAAGCAGGGGCTCGCTGCCGGCCAACCGCAGCCCGCTGCGTGCGCCAGACCAGCCGCTCACATGGCGCTGCTGCATCGCGCCGCAGTTGCTGCTCGCACCCGGCCCGCACATGCGCCCACCCCGCCCCACCTCTCTGCTGTACCAGCGCTGGGCTGCAAGCCACTGCCACTCACTCTATGGAGGTCCCTAGGCAGGCGTCCACCATGCTGACAGGCACATCCACATACAGGTCAAAGTCCTGGCGCTTGAAGACGGGCGAGGGCGCCACCTGGATCTGCACCAGCAGGTCCCCCGCAGGCTGCCCCCGCGGCCCCGCCGGGATCACGCCCTCCGCCCGCAGCTGGTAGCCGCTGTCCACGCCTGCGCCAGGCGGCGGGCAGGCCGTGGCAACAGGCAGGGGGGGCGGCTGAGGACAAAAAGCGCTCCGATGCACGGCGATGGCCTGCCTTTACCTGTCCCGGCAGATGCCAACCTTATCCACTGCCTCCCCCACCCCTTCCCTGGTTCAGCACAACCGAGGCAAGCATCCGCCACGCGTGGGCCGCCCCACCCCACCCCTCCCCACCCGCCCAGTCACCCACCCACCCACCTGCGGGAATGTTGAGCTCCACCGTTTTCTTGGCCGCCCCCGAGATGCCCATGGATGAAAGGTCGATCGCCTGTGTGGTGCCCTTGACAGAATCCTGGAAAGAGATGCGCAAGGCGGCGCGCACCATGGGCCGCATCCGCCTGCCGCTCGCCCCTCCACCAAAGGTGTCGCTGACGAACTGCTCGAAGATGCTCGCTCCCTGCACGGGCGCGCGCACAGCGAGTGGAGTCGAGGGAGGCGCGGCGGCAGCTCCGCGGAAGGCTGGCGCGCTCCAGCCTGCACGGAACGCCAGCCACTGCTCCCCCCCCTCCCTGGCGTCGTTTCCATTCCATGCCTGCCCCTCTGGCCGCCTCCCTGCCTCACCCCATCGGTGTGAAAGCTATAGCTGCCGCGACCGCGGCCGCCACCAAAGAACTCTCGGAAGAGGTCTTCTGGGTCCACCTGCGCCACAGGCCAGCCGTAAAATTCATCTCCCGCCCCCATGCTACACTGTCTGAAAAACGAAGCTGCACTGCAAAAGGTTAGGCTGCGGGCTGACCAGAGAGGGAAGTGCCGCGCTGAATGCCAGTAGCAGGCGTGGCAAGCCACGTATGCGGCTGCGCACCTGCATGCCTGCACCCTGAAAGGGGCCCTGCCCGCCTGGGCTGCCACCCGTGGCCTCCATGTTTTCGAATGCAGCGTGGCCCATGCTGTCATATGCCTGCACGGCACACATGCCACGCTTGCAATGACAAGACAGGCCAACCCAGAGTGCCACACAGCATGCGCCACTCCAAGGCACACAGGCTGCCCTGCCCGGGGGGCTCCAGGCATGGGCAAACTCGGGCAGCAAACCGCATGCCTGCTGCACAGGCACACAGGCTGCCCTGCCGGGGGGGCTCGTGGTGAGTGGGCGTGCACCCCGCCACGCACCTGCCGCTTCTGGGGGTCCCGCAGCGTGTCGTACGCCCGCTGCACCTCTTGGAACTTCTTGGCAGCTTCAGGGTCCCCCTGCCAGGCAGGCCGCCACATGAACCCCAGGCAGCAGAGTCAGCGGCCAGCAGCGGCAGCGGTGGCAAGCAGGGTGCAGCGCTGCTAAAGCAAAATTGGCAGGATGCCCAGCCCAAACACCAAACACCAAACACCAAGCACCTTGTTCTGGTCGGGGTGGTACTTCTTGGCTAGCTGGTAGTACGCCTTTTTGATGTCGCTGTCGGCGGCAGCGCGCGGCACCCCCAGCACCGAATAAAAGTCCAACAAGGGCGCTGCAGCACGACGAGCGACGGTGGCTGAGGTGGCGTCCGAAGCCGCCGGCGGCAGAACCGAGGCGGTGGCGGCGACGGCGGCAGGCAGGGCAGAGCTGCAGCAACGGCAGCAGCAGTCTGGGAGCCTCAAAAGCGAGGCAGGCAGCTCACCTGACGTGCGGAAGCCATGCTGCAATAGAAGCTGCGCTGCTGGTGAAGCTCCTTGTCGCATGCCGCATGTCTGCTGCTGGGCGGCACCCATCGCCCCTGACAACAGGCATTGTTGTAGTCGCCGCAGCGCCATTCCAGGGGCGCTTTGGGTTGCTGAAGTGCAACTTGTCTGGCGCTGTTACATGCGGCTACATTGAACGGCGATGAGATGAGTGCGCCGACTCGAGCTGCTTGCCGGTTTGAGGGCTCTTGGAGAACTTGCGCGGTGGCAGTACTGCAAAGTGTACGGTGCGCACGAAAAATAACGAACCTTTGTCTTGGTAGCACGCTTTAAAAAAATATCCAGGGCAAGGCAGCTCAGATCACAAGTCGGCACTGGGCACTTTGGTGGCCACACAGGCCGCCCGCGCAACAAACGTTTGCTTTTGCCTCAGATGGGGACGCTTCAGCAGCATGGTGCGGGGCAAGGCATACGGCTGAGGGTCCCTCACAAGGCCTTGCTCCTTACTTCAGGTCAGTTCTTGCAGTTGCGAAAGTCGGGTGTTTTGAGCTGGTGTGGCGGCAGCTTATTGCAGGTGATCTACTTGCACGATACCTGTACCTGTTTCCGCCGAGCCGGTGCCATCAGCGCCAACCGCCGCCAGATACACCTGGTTGCCAGGCAGGTAGGCCTCCCGGTAAGGATGTGCCCCATGATGGGCATGATGGCCCCCCACCTGGAGGGTCATTGGGGACATCATCCTCAATCATGCATCATTCTCCCTCCCGTTTGTTCTGTTGGCATCCCAGCAACCGTAATACGCTTTTCCAACGAACTCAACCCCCATGAGCACACATGAGCATGGTGCCCAGTCCGGCAGCAAGGCTCTAGGTCCAACGCCGCTATTGAGCGGTGCAGCTAACCAAGCTAAGCAGCTGAAGTCGCGCTTCAACTCGTGGGAAAGGTTTTGTGAAGCACATCCACAGGCGCGCGTCGCCATCGCCGTTCAGTCAGGCTACTCCCACGAGATCAAGTTCTTTTGCCATTCCATCGTGTTCTGGGAGGAGTTCAAGGACTTCTTCACTGAGCGGTGCGCCGCCGCCGGCAGCCGCTCCGAGCGGTCGCGGCTGAAGGGCGAGCTGGGCAAAGCAGGCATTGATTTCAGCAAGTTTCTGGCTTTGGCAATAGACCTGTGGAAGGCAGAAGGTGTTATCTCTCAGTTACAGGCAGATGTCATGATCAAGCTGGCAACGGGCACTGCATTCGACACGGATGGTAAGCCGGGCTGCCTTTGCCCGCTGGCATGCCTCGCTTCTCGCCTCTCGATTGCTTGTCCGCACGGCAGTGCCATATGCTTGC